ATACCTCCAAAGAAAAAAAATGCATATTTAAATGCATACAATCTAAAAGTAATCTACAGAAAAAAAAGATGAAAAACAAAACTCAGAGTAGTATAGCATACACACTAAAAATAAAAAAATAAGGGTGGGTAATATGCACTCACAAACCACTTCTTGTTAATAAACACATCAATAAAACTCTTAGAGAAAGCCTCAGTTCTGCAGAGCAATGGTAGTACATTGAGCAAGACATGTATTTCGAATAAAATCAAACCTTTTTTTAATTTTTTATTTATTTATATTAATGATTTGGCAAATTACATATCAATCCAATCCAGTTCAGGTAAGGCCAGGGCGGATATAATACTAAGAATCCTCTAATGACAAACTTCCAGGTAAATATTTAGGAAATGATTCAGATGCCCTTTTAATAAATAACTTTTGTCTTGAAATTTGTATGAAATCGTATAGAATTATTCCAGAGCTATCATTGCAGCGGTAACCAGATTGTTTAAGACGGAATTTGGTACAACCATAATGTAAGGTCAGAAAAAGTGATACAACAAAATCTGACTGATCTCTTTATCTACTGTTAGAAACAGAAATTGCTTGTGTTTGCATTTGAAATAAATAATCCTCAGACAGAGTGTGATCATTTTATATAAATACATGAAGTGCCAGTACAAACCATTTTTGTGATCTGCCCCTCAATTGCACGAAAAAAATGAGATTTTATCCACAGCAAAGGGAAATCATTTTATGTTTATTTTTATTGTAAAACAAACTATAAGATGTGTATTTCTGTGCATTGTGAGGTTGCCATTAATGTGTTTTTAAATATATTATTCAGGACTGTAATTGTTAAACCTTTAAGGACACATGACTGAAATATTCCGTCATGATTCCCTTTTATTCCAGAAGTTGTGTCCTCAAGGGGTTAATGTAACACAGCTGGACAATCAGAAACATCCGATTGTGAAATATATTTAACATTTTGCATGGCAGAAATGCAGGTCAATTAAATTTGGGTTTTCCACCAACTTGTGGATCAGTATGAAGTTTGTAGCCAGCCTGGTATAGCATGCTAAGTATTCAGGCCTAGTTTGGCACTATATTGTTTGTTTTTTGATTTGTTAACCTCTCCCTTCTACACACCTTATTTTGTCAGACTGGCATTGGACGGGGCCCCAATCATAGCAATCCACAAGGCCAGGTATTACAAGAAGAAAGATGGCCTAGCACTTGGCCCTGGGCCTTTTGTGACAGGATTGGAATATGCTACAGACTCAAAGGCCATTGTGGTTGGAAAGCCAGAAAAGACGTTCTTCTTGGAAGCCCTGAGGAGTACTGGCTGCCTTCCGGAAGAAGCTATCATGATTGGAGATGTAAGTAACTAGATCTCCCAGCATCCCTTTGTATGTCACTGTTCACCTTCCACATCTCATTCCATGTGTCCTGACAAAGCCTTTACTAATGGCAAATTTATTGGCATGGATGCACACCAGGCTGCTTATCCACCATGCAGGCTGGCCCATTGAGGGCAGACCTGACAGGGAGCACTGTTTCAGTGCTCCTTGCCAGGCCCTTGTGCCCTAATGGTGGAGCGAGCGCATGTTAGGATTATATAATTGTAGGGGACAGTTCCCTGGTGTCCCCAAGAGCAGGACAGGACACCAAAATCGGGACTGTCTTGCTGCACCTGGGACAATTGGGTGGCATGTAAGCACTTTGGGGAAAAATTGTGCTATATAAATGCTAAATCCTTGAAAAATGCTTAAATGCAACAGTGACCTCCAGTGGTTGTAGCTGGTAAACAAAAACTGTACTAGTAGATTACTGGGGATTGATTAAATGTGAATTTCAAACTTACAGTCAAAATAGCAAAGATGGAAAAAATCCGCTATGCTTTCTATTCAGCTACTCTGGCCTTAAATTTGAAATTCACTTTGAATTTGCAATAATATTTAGTAGATGGTTTAATTAATTGATTGCTATTCAATCATGCATGGAAGTTTATCCAAAAGTCAGAAAAAAGAAATTCTCTGTGTACTTTTACACTTCCTGATCGAATTTTAATTCTCCAAGAGAGATTGGGGTTTTCATTCCTTGTTGTTATCACCCTGCAGCACCTTTAAAGTCATAGAATGGGGGAAATTGACATCCAAAATATTAACAGAGACGAGAGGTAAAGACGGCCCTAATAAAACCAGCTTACAAGGTTATTCACTAAAGTAAGAATTCTAAGTGAATATCACATTTAAAGCAGTTCCATCAGCCACATCCAAAATGAGTATTCTATAAATATATTCAGATTGACTGGGTTGGAATTTTACAAAAAAATTCCAACCCAGTCAAAAGATATACTAAAACAAAGTAGGGGTTACTTTTTCTTCAGTATTTTCCCTTGACCGGACATAGCTTGACATTGGGCGGAGCCACCGCCATAAATCCTTGTCATTTCCTGTGACAGCTGTAGGGAAATTAATCTCTTTCTATGGAGGATCTTGCTGGATACTCCATTGACCTAATTGGTGTAAAAGTACATTGTGGACATTGGCTCCTGGCACCTGAAGCACCTGGATCAGAAAGAAGAGGATGGCAGCGACATCTAGGGACAGGTTCAGGTAAGTAAAACATTTTTGCCTGTCCTCCCCCAGCCACCGGATCTGTATCGATGAGGTCTCCATCGGGGGTCTTTGGAAATTATGCAAAGACCCCAGACTGTGACAAATCCGTTTTAAGGCCAAATCAGCCAAACTGGAAATATGGGAGACTTACAGATTTTTCTAGTTTGGCTGTGAAATTTGAATTTCACTTTGAATTCTCACTTAATAACCCTGTAAATCTAAGAGCCAGCCAAGTCTACATCACACTAGACAGACCTCATTAATAAAACGCTCAGAGAGGAAACCCGTTTGTTAAATAGCTAGTACACAAACCCATGCAAGTATGTGCTTGCTGAATGGACTATTAAAGTTCTGAAAGTACTCTTCGTACCTTTTAGCTTTAAATCCCATCATATTGTTAAATATTGATGAAGATCTGTGCTATTTGGAAGGTGAAGATTGCTAAACCAATGATCTATAGCTTAGAATACTCAGAGAATCAGTGAATGTTTTCCTTATTCTCAACTATTGTCATTGGTATTTTCACCTCTTGAATGCAAAAAAAAAAAAAAAAAACAATTGTAATAATTAGTATTTATAATTAGAGATGTCGCGAACTGTCCGCCGAACTGTTCGCGAACTGTCCGCCGGCGAACAATAGCGTGTTCGCGTTGGGCAAACATATCCAATTTCCGGTCCGCCCCGTATACGTCATCATTGAGTAAACTTTGACCCGGAACCTCACAGTCAGCAGACACTTCCTGGGAAGGGAACGTCTGCTGCTGATTGGGTGGAATGTGTTTGCAGGCTGTGAGGTTCCGGGTCAAAGTTTACTCAATGATGACTTATAGGGGGCGGACCGGAAATCTGATATGTTCGCCCAACGCGAACACGCTATTGTTCGCCGGTGGACAGTTCGCGAACAGTTCGGCGGACAGTTCGCGACATCTCTATTTATAATGCAAGTGTATGGCAAGCCATCTCTAAAAATAAATTTAATTTTAAAAAATTGGAGTATTCATTAGATATTCCCTCAATTAAAACACACATGCATTTATTGCTTCATTTTTTAATGGGGGTATATTTAAAATCAACTTGCAAAAAAGCTGCATATTTGAGGTCTGTAGCTTTTTGCATGCCCTCACATTTTAACCAGCACACACTTTAGTTTTTAATTGAGAAGCCTCTAATTTTGAGCCGTGAGTCAGGCACACTTGTACTTGGAGAAAGAGGGCAGGTGCACTCTAGCAGAGTATGTCTGCTACTTAGCTCTGTGTAGCAAATAGAATGGGGAATAAAACCTGCCTGACATTTTGACTGACAGCCAGAGAGGAGTTTCTGAAATTAATTATACCAATTTCAAAAAAAAATAAAACAGCACTTTTATATATTGCAGTTAAGAGGAGATGCTTCACGCATAACTTGCATGCTGAAGTGCTTCATGTAAAGTGTCCCTTTAACATTTGCTCTGGTCAAACGGATAACTTACAAATTATAGCAGATCCTCACCTGATCTCCTGCAGCTTATACACTACCTCATCCCTGTAACCCTTAAAATATTGTAATATTAAAGTCAGACCACCTGAAGGTTATAACAGACCCACTCGTCTCTTGATAAAGTACCATGTATGAAAGCATTGAGTGGATGATGGTCCCCTTGCAATAAGTCCTGTGAGTTTTACATTATCCTTGTTTTTCTGCCTTCAACTTGTGATATAATTAAAAGTGCTCAATTCTCTGCCATTTATTACTTAAATAACTTTGTTTGTGCAGTGAGATGTAGTGGTTATGGTGCTCAGAGATTCCCTCTAAGAACTCGGAATTTAGATTTGAGAACTCTAATACATTTTCTCCCCTCACCCCTCATGTATAGGACTGCAGGGATGATGTTGGAGGAGCACAGAATTCTGGGATGCTTGGAATACTAGTAAAAACAGGTATGTTAATGATCTGCTATTTAACATGTAGATGTAATAAAATTATGCTTTTGTACTTGCTGTACATTAGTTGACTTGCAAAGATTTGTTTGACCAGGTTCTTCCCAATCAAAATCTTTTTAATCCACCACGGAAACGAATCGATTCGCCCAGGACTTAAGTCTGGAGTCTTATTCATTGAACAAGGCTCCAGAAGAAAATCCTGGACACAAATGGATTCATTGGGGTGTGGATTAAAAGGAATTGGTTTCAGATTAACCGGTTCAAACTAATTTTTGCATCATTCATTAGCATTGAAAAATAAGTTGGCGCCGCATTTGTGTGCAAACAGCATTACTCATTGTGCCATGGATCTATAGTTCTACTCCTGCACTGTTCCAGTTACATAGTGAAATCCTCTTCTAGTTCATGTACACCGCCGTGTTGGGTTCTCTAGAATAGTGAATTTATTTAAAACACTGTTAGCTGCAAGCAGGTAGATGATAAAAACCAACTAATTTCCCTTTTTCTTCATTGTCAAAACAGGAAAATACAGGCCAGGAGATGAAGATAAAATTCAGCCCGGTCCCTACCGGACATGTGAAAGCTTTCCTCAAGCTGTAGATCATATACTAAATGACCTGCTTTAAACATCCAATAACCTCATGGACTACAGATTCAGTTTATTCTAGTATTTATTGGACTCCTCATAGTATACCGATTGCTAAATTAGTAAGGGAACAGGCTGATTGAACTGCTATGTTTAAAAAAAAATAAAAAAAATTACACATTTTGATTTGAAGAATGTTTGGGGGGGCAGAGCTGTAATGCATTGGTGATGTGACACAGTACATGAATAAAAGGTAAAGTGAGATAAATTAACAGTTTGCATTTGAGTTTGTTGTTTCTATGGCATTGGTTTAGGGCAGACACTGCTTTCCAGAAAAAAGGAGGAGATTGGGACTGCAACAAAAACAGAACATCAGTCTCAGAACGGACAAAAGCTAAGAGAAAATAGTTTGCCCTTTTGAAATCCCTGCTCAGGGGATATTTTTGCTCACTTGTGCTATTACAAAGAGAACCTATACCATTTGCAGATCAGGGTGACCCTACCCATAAAGGCACTCCAGAACCAAAATGCCCGCAAGTTTTCTATGACCTGGAGACACAGCAACCTCAGACCATCGTTTCAACCTTCTCTAAGCCTCATCAGTGAGTTGTAGTGGATACCCACAGTGGGCACAGGATCCACATCTGGAGATTGGGACTGGTTTTAAATTCTTTTTCTATTTACCAGGCAATTCTTATGAAAAAAAATATATAAAAATTTTATTAATTTAAGTTGTCGTTTTTTCCAGTGAATAAATAATCATACCGAGCATGTCACAATCTAAACACTGGTTTGTTTGTTTTTAATATTATTTCCATACAGCATGATATTATCTTCAGTTAGAAGTGTCCAGGCGCCAGTAGACGTTTTGTAAGAGGCAGTTGATTCATTATGGTTTCAAGGTTTAGTAACAAGGCCTCACACAGATTCAAACTCCTTTTGCCAGGCTGTGTATTTTTGGGTTAAGTTCTTTGCAGAAGGCTTGGTGTGGGCTATAACTTCCAGGAAGTCAGATGTAGTGACTGTATCCAAGTGTATAACTGGCAAATCTTTTTTACCTAAAAGAAGAAATGAAGGATTGAAAGTGAAACACAACCGGAAATGTTTAGTAAATTTGCAACGCGTACACAGTGCTTCTATGTTATCTGTACCAGGTGTTATATTGCTGGAGATATTTTAAACGGAGCGTTATATTATTGGAGATATTTTACTGTGTTCTATCACTGAAAATACTTAACAAGCCTACAAGTAGGAGAATAACAAAATTGTTTTAACTCACTGGGCTTGGTGAAATAGACTTTGTGGCGGATGCCGGTTCTATAAAGGGTTTTTTTTTTTTTTTTTGTTCCATGTTGGCCCTACACTTTAAATTTGTTTCTGAATTTCTAGTGAGTAAATTGGTCTAATTTTATTCTTGTGATGCAGTGGTAAATGTAAGACTAGAAAAGCTACAATTTCTGGGGAAATTGTGTGAAGTGTTCTTGCCTCCACCAGTAGTTTACAACTAGGGATCGAGCAATTATCGGTTTTACTGAAATCGGCCGATATTCTGTATTTTCGGCAATATCGGTATCAGCCACTAAAGATACCGATATTGCTGATATTGGTAGAGTGAGAAATGCATTTCAACTTTTATTTATTTATATAGCACATTTAATTGCAATGTTGGTGCCCAAAGTGCTTCACAGTTACATTAAAACATACATTTATAAAAACATTAGCAGGTGTACAAAAGGCCCTGTCTATGACATCACTTGCTGCTCCAACCCTACATTTTGATGCATAGTATGTCTCTGAAATATTAAAAATGAAGGCACAGTCACAGTTTAGAAATTGCACTTCAAATTTGAGCTGGCTAGAGTGGAGTTTCAATGAATGTCAATGGACTGCGTGAGTTGCAAACAAATGGTCATATTGTGAAAACTATCAGGACTATGGCTTAGCCGTGGACATGTTTAGTGGCTAGAATAATAATATATATGTGAAATAACAGTAAGTGGTCTTGCTATGCAAGACCATTTAATTATAATAGCATAGTTGGAACAATGCTCTGTTTTTCAGACTCTGCTATTGTTTCTACCCTAAATTTTACGAGTGAGTTATCAGATACCTAGGTCTCCGTAGTTGACAAGCTATAACTCCGTGATCCACTACCAGCACTGGAGGGTCTTAGAAATTTTAAAGGAGTAGGTTCAGTTCAACGGACAAAGGGTGTGCTTCTACATAATCTACAAAACGTGCTCCACCCTGCAGGAGACTCAGAACTCACCATTTATGCACAAGATTATTTTCAAGAGACTGAATTTATGATTTAGGAAACTCACTGGGAGACCTCTATTAAGCAATCAAACAGGGCACCCAGGTTGCCCAGGTCAATTTTGTTGAAGTGAGAACATATTTATAAACTCAGAATGTTGACATAACTTTATTACGTATTTCCCGATTCAGCAGAGTTGAATATTTTATTTGTTCACCCAGCTTGGCTATATAATTCTGCATTTTGCAGGTTAGTTGCTGGCTCACCACAACTCCTTAATTAGTTAATACAACACAGAACTGTGTAACATATGGGACAACACAGTGCAATTTTTAGAGTTTACGGCTCTAATTTTACACAGAAGTAAGTGTCATAAATACCTGGCTGGTGATTTTCAAGCGCATCAAAGATTTTTCTCACCGGTCTCATTGCGGCTTCTTTACAAACCAATTTAATGTCAGATCCAGAGTAACCATCAGTCTCCTGATAAAAAATAAAAAATTCTATGAGGCAAGCTGCATTTTGTCATATTCCTATTGGCGTGATCACAAGAATGAAACATTCCACATTTAACATTCGATATTTAAAAGGTATTGGATTGAGCACTGAGGTTGTCGCCTGTCCTGATATTAGTGGGTGAATAGGTCTCATATTATAGTGTTAAGGACAACTGACATGAGAGGGCTCCAAGGCCAGGTACTTTTAGATTATATAGTAACTGGAGGCAGTCAAAGCAGTTACATTTCAGCAACCTGCATCCTCTGCGGGCTCCCTGGCTCATTCACGTATCTGTCGCTCCTGAGGGCAGTGCCAACTGGAATCTGAAGGAATGAGGCAGCAGAGTGGACTACACAGTGCAAAGTATCCCAGCAATTCGTACTGCTAGAAGGTTGCTGTGTGTGCTGAAATTATCATAAATGGACGAGTATGCCCTGGAATTCTTGTGATTGTGCTGCTACCCAGAAGGTGAGACAGGGACCGAAGTTGAAACAGCCTCTTAAAATGTAACACTTTTGGCAATAATGCATTTGTAATCTGTGGGGCCCAATGTATTACACCACTGATGCTGATTTGTGACAGCATAAAATGATGCACTTACCTCTCCCAGTACATTGTAATCCAGGTTAGTTCTCAGTTCTACTCCTCCAGAGTTACTGACCGGAGGCAGCCAGTGCTGGATCATCACCTGTCTTGCTTCCTTGCTGGGAAGATCCACCAGGATCCGCTTCTCTAGACGCCTTAGCATGGCATAGTCTAGCTCCCTAATACAGAAAACATTTCTTATTAACAGTGAGTCATTCAGGTCAGAAATTCGGAAATTGCAATGCTCATTTCTGTAGCATCGAACAGATGAACTTAATATTTAACATACAAATGGTTAAAGTGGACTAAAACACATTGAAACAATTTCACTATTATGGCTTTGGCAAAGAGGGGGTTAAGATGAATTAAACACAGAGAAACAGATGTGTGGAAAGCCCTGATCACTTGGGCTTGCAATGTAAAAGGACTTTTAAACACTTTGCATTATGCTTTCTTTTGTAAGTCCTATTCATACCACGAAAGATTAGAGAGAGATCAGCGAGGTCAGAGAGCAAATCAGTTCTTATCCGCAGCAGTAGAAGATCAGCCATCTTTCTCACATGCACACTTACACTTAAATCAGATTACAGCACACGGCAGCATCACTGTATGTACAAGCAGTGGGAGCTTTAAGCACTCGATACTTGAAAGTTCAAATCCTTCTTAGCTAAACCATAGTAAATAACTTGGGTATAAAACTCAGAGTACATTTTAAATATTAGCATATGGTAGCTTTGTGTTTATGAAAGATTATTTTCATGACTGTGAGGAGAGAAAAAAAAATAAAGAACCCAAGCTCTCAAAAGTAGAGAGTTCACAATTAATCTTTAAACAATTTAACCCGAAATGAAGGCCATTTCTCCTGTGTTCTAAATAAAATCTTTATCTGTGCTTAGAGGATCATAGACATGTAGTCACAAAGCGCAGTCTTGATCTCTTACCATGGCAGATTGGATGCGGCTAAAACAAATACAAGATCATCAGATCGAGACAAGCCATCCATCTGTACCAGTAATTCAGTCTTCATCCGCCGACTTCCTTCATGTTCACCTCTACCGGGATATAGAGAAATGTTTTGTTTTTTTACATCACTGCCAGTGGTTATGGTTGATGTAGGCAGTTACATAATACGGATTAAAAACCTAATGAGAAACTAAATAGATAAATAGCCTTCAGTATTTGACATCTTAGAAAGAAGCATGCACTAGTAAAGAATCATTATTGCCAATTGTTTTCCCTATGGACAGCAAGGCAAATTATTTGGATGTTCTTGAATTTTGAGTTCTGTGTCCACTCCCGACTGATTTCCTGTAGTATGAATTGGACACTGAACTAAAGCCAATCAGACACGCTAAACGTCAGTGAATTGTTATAGCCAATCATATTGCTCTATTGCCGATCATTCTTTAAAATGTGATGCAAAAGGTTGAAATAGAGCCACTAGCATAGGCAAGCTGGCCAGCTGCTTACATTAACCACACAAGGAGTGGGGACAAGAAAACCCTTGTTATCAATCAGCTTTTAAGAAAAAATACAATTGCAGGAGGAGACGTTTGACCACATGACTGGGGAATGGACAATTCAAAAGCATTAGAAAGGCTAGATATGTATGTTTGTAAACTTATAAAAACATTAGAAGTGATTTCAAAATGTCCTTGATCTACAAATATTTTAAGAAGATGAAGTCGGCTAGCTTAACCTGTTCATATTGCAAAAAAACAAAACACAAAAAAATTTAAAACATCAAATATTAAATATTAAATATAAAATAAAACCACAGATTTGGCCAAGCTTACCCAGGACCTGTCCCTCTCTGGCTCATCACAGATTCCAGTTCATCCAAGAAAATCGTGGACGGGGCATGGTATCTGGCAAGTTCAAAGAGTACCTGTCAAAAAAAAAAAAAAAAAAACTAAAAAATGAATCCCTTTTTCTAATTTCCAGGAGACTATATTGGTCCAGTTAAAAGGCATCAATAACTGTGCTCAGCTCTCTAACATCTACATTATGGAGTCAAATTAATAAAAAATGCATCTCAAAGACAGGGTACTGCAAAAATGATATACAATAACAGGTTAGCCAATGAGCATGTGATAGTTACTTTCATTTCAACATGCTTGGCTTTTACATATAAAAGGATTTGCTTTAATGGAAATATCTATTTGTATAGGAAGAATAAAATAATTTCAAGTGTGGGTAGAGGTAGTGGTGGGTTGGCTGGTAGCTAAGTTAAGGGTGAGATCAATATATCTACTCTTATATAGAGTCAGCAAATACCTATTGCTGCATTGTGATTGGCTAGAAGAAAAAAAAAAGTGCAATGAAGGAGGTTCCGATGTATGATGTAGGAGTGCAATACAGCCTCTTTTGAGGAGAGCCCTGTTTTTATCACTAAACCAAAGGAGCTGCAGTTTTTGCTTTGTTTTTTTACTTAATTTGGAGCTTTTATTAATGAGGTTTGTTACAATGGGCAGAAGACGACGACTTGTTTGCGTTCAGTGACATCGTTAGACAATCAGGATTACTATGAATGATTACATTTATTATTCTAGAGGTGAGGGTAGATAAGAATTGTAGATTTCTTCCTTAGATTTGGGGAATGAGTAGGCGACAGATGGAAGTTAGTGGTGGTTATTTATATTAAACAAATGATGCATTGACAAGGTGATTGTACTCACCTTGGACACATCCTATGTACAGGAAATCACCACTTGTCTTATTAGGCATTGGACCTTTAGTATTATCCCCTGGCCTTAATACCCCCTGGGTCTGATTAACCCCTTAAGTTATGATGGAAGATATTGTCATACCCGCACCAGCTTCTCAGAATCTCCTCTCCATTTGCTGACAATGGTAGAAGCTGAAATATTGAAGAAGGTTGTGTTGCATTCTGTGGCCACAGCCTTTGCCAGCAATGTTTTACCAGTACCTGTCAATAACCATAAACACAAGAATAGGTGTTAACCACATATCACCGAGTATATAAAACAATTTACACTTTAAAACCTCTTGATGACTCAATTCTGAGCGAATTACATCTGCCCTATAGGTCCTACTTGACCTAATCTACAGATGCAGCAAGAAATAGGTTGCACTAGCTTAGCATGTGTAGAACAATATGTACCTGCGATTTTACGGAATAGCCTCATTTACTAAAATGTACAGCAGGACAGAACTCAGAAACAGATGTGAAACTCACTGGAAATAGCACGTTTGATGAGAATGTGGAACCTATAGTAAGAAATGATCATCTATGGGTTACCTGGAAAAGCTACCAACAGTGTGAAGACTTAGGGGTTAAAGAGAGGCAGTACTCTGTTTAATTTAAAGTCAGTTCCTTTAAATTCGTTACTGTCACTTTAAAACTCCAAACAGCATGCAAACAGTGTATGACAGAGAAAAGTGGACAACCAGGCTCGGATGACAAAGTTCCAGTATTTAATCCAAGTCTATGAACTGGATTCTAGTATTACAATATTACATGTAAGATATTATTATTATGACGAACAGCTGGCAGATATTTGCTGCCAAAAAAAATTCAAACTGGTTTCCAACCTCAGGCCCATGTCAGGCAGTCTACCACTACGAACATCTACCTCTAAAGATATTATCCAAGTATTCAGTCACTGCAATAGCATCCCCAACTGGATAGTATAAAAAGTATCATACTGCACATGCACACTTCCATGATCAGTCATGGAGGATAGACTCAGGAGGAGATGTGTGATTGGTACTATGTCAGGTACACATCTGGGGGTGAATGGTGTCCTTAAAGAGACACAACAGGCACCCAGATCACTTCATCGCATTGAAGTGGTCTGGATCCAATGCCCCCATTAGCTCTGCTATATAAAACATTGACATTTTAGAGATATTGCACTGTTTATATAGCAGTGCTAAGACTGCCTCTGAAGTAGTTGTCGTTGGCTTAACTGTATGCCAAGATCTTACATATAGCGTGCGTTGTATTATACACAGAATTTTTACGCTACCACCATGGGCTATGGACTCAAGAGTTTAGTGTGGAATAGTTATTGCATGATTGTTAAGGACATGTGAAGTCAATACAGGTCAGATGTAAGATTTATATTTGCATTAATATTACTAGTTTTTTTTTATATATATTTTATTGGGTTTCGTGGACCATGGGTGGGAAGAGCAAAGATCAGAGTTAAATGAATTTAATTCAAAAGAAGTTTGAGGTGTTGCAAGTCCAGTGTGAGCATTTTTCTTCATTGAACATGTCATTTTCATGGTACCTAAAAGCAGGGCTGATCTCAATACACAAAGTTTGTTTTCTAAACTCATTTTCATTAATTTATCCTTTATGGATATTTAATAGGGATTACTTGAAATTGTTGTTTTTTCCTCTTGGTAGCAGAATATTAAGTAACTCTTGTTACTTTGTGTCTTGGTAAATGGCTGAACCAATTGGACTAAATACCCCACTGATACTGACTGCTACTGGCCCATTTAATAGGAGCCTTCTATACTGTATGTTGATGATTTTGACCCATATGTGGGGAATAAAGGAGAATCTATTTTAGGGAACGAATAGTTGCTAAGTGTGTCTTGGGATTACAGTCATTCCGATTTGTTTAGTAACAGAGGTGTGAGATTGGAGGAATACCTGCTCACTGAGGGAAAAAGAGACCCCAGATTGTGTCAACAGTGAGAGCACAGAGTCATAGAGGATGAGTCGTGCATAGCATGCTCCAGTGAGAGAAACTAACTATTTCTGAAGTTAATCTTTCCGATGCCTACATTAAGCTCCATCAATGAGGAAGGCCAATTAAAATCTTTGCAGAAGATGAATACACAGCAACAGCATGAAGCGGACTACATCACTACATGTAATATAACTCTCTAAACAGACTGAAAGTCTCCACTTACTGCCATACTATATAAATCTTTACAGAGCATGAAAAAAAATAAAAAATAAAATCCCATAATCCCCTTCACGTCACATATCTACTTTACCATGGCAAGAAAGCGGATTTGATAAAGAAGGAAAGAGAGAAAATGAGAGCAGACTGCCTTTCTAACTCTCCAACTACCATGACCACCTGCAGTGATTTGAAGTGATCATGGTAGGAGTATACACTGTTTCAGCTTGATGCCCTGCACATACTGTGTTATTTGCACTTGTGTGCTGGGGGCTAGTTGCACACAGGACTCCTGGCTACCTAATGTGAATTCTGTGCATAGTTTACATCTGTTGTCAGTTTGCACTGCTCGCTGACAACAGATGTAAAAATCTTTAAGATAGATTTACTCTCTCGCCCTCCCGCCTCCCTCAGTTATAAAAAAAAAAAAAAAAAAAAATCCCTCCCTCACTGGCCCAGAGCACACACATGAGCTCTGAGCCAGCAGTAGGTATAATCACAGGATTCTCTATCACCCGTGATGTGGCAGGGAGAGCATAACTCAGGAGCTTTGCCCAGCGCTAAATTCAAGGGGATCCCCCCCACCCCCACTAAAGGTTAAAGTAACCTATTAAATTATCAGTGGTAAGAGGCACCATCTCAAACGTTTAATCAAAACTCTTCCAGCAAACAAAGAAGCTAAATGTCATATTGAGATAACAGAACAACAGCCAAACAGTAGCAAGGACACTTACCTGGAGGTCCATACAGTAACAGTCCTTTCCAAGGAGAGAGGATTCCAGTGAACAGCTGTGGGTACTGTTGGGGAGATGTATCAAATTAATAATTTTTACACAATGCAATGTATACTTCACTGGCTCATTTATGAAAATCTTCCTCCTGAACTGTTTGATAAAAAAAAAAAAAAAGCAAATGGACAAAAAATAAAAAATAAAATAGCAATAATGGGTATTTTGGAGATGGGGATAGAGGAGTGGAATGACTTTCCAGTGATAGTAATAGGAGAAAACATATCAAAATAAAAAAAATTCATTGAGCCAAGATCAAAAATATCACGTCAGCAGCTTTATAATGAGGAAAACGGCCAACTTGGATTTGCCAGCAGGTTCCTATTGGCTGTCAAGTCATCTTTCTGTTATATTAAAATACATAGCTGGGTTGAGAAGTGTTAAAGGATAACTACTGGTAAAACAAATGCAATCCATATGTTCTAATTTTCCATCTAATACTTTTTTTAATTCATGTATATTGAAATCATTATGTAGAACAGACTGCTGCAAAACAGTGGGTTCTCACTGGGATTACGGACAATCTGACACAAGGTGCTTAAAGATGGCAGTCAGAAAGGGGGAGTGGGAGAGGCAGAAAGTGATTTCTTTAAAATAAATTATATATTTTTTATTTGTTTTCATTTATTCATGTATGTTGACATTTTTAAACATATAGATTATATTAAGATATTTAAAAAAATAATGAGTTATCCTTTAATTCCATTGAGGCAAATGTAAAATCCATGAGTATTGTAGAACTGAATGAATAACTGTAGCCATTGTTTAACATTAGGATACACATCATGAGTAGCAACCCCCAAGTCAATGGAGAGGTCTGTATTCTTATTTTTCTCAACAGAAAGTGAAGTCATCTAATTGAAAATCCTAATTACTGTAGATATATAAAATAAAAGTGGGGCAAACGTCTAAAATCAGAACTATCACCATACTCTTTATTTTTAGAATTTTGCCCCACCTTCCCGACAAAGGAAACTTTGTAAATCTCCACCATTGTGGCACCTCTATCATACAGATACGTGGGAAAAAAACAAAAACATTTTGTAATTAATTACTATAGAAGGAAGAAAACGGGTAACTATCAAATAAATAAAAAAATAAATAAATAAATCGGAAGTATATTAACCCCTTAAGGACACAGCTTCAGAAGCTTGACTTACGCTTAATGACACAAGCAATTTTTGCATTTTCTTGCTGTTTGCGTTCAACTGCAATTTGCATCTCTCTCATTTATTGCACCGACACATATTATATACTGTTTTTTAAAGGACAGAAAGGGCTTTAATTTGATATAACATATATATATATATATATATATATATATATATATATATATATATATATATATATATATATATATATATATATATATATATATATATATATAAATGCTTACTTATTATAAAAAAAATACAGAAAAATGCAAAAAAAATTAAAAATATTGTTTTTTTTTACAGTTTTTGCAATAATAATGTGTGCATAATTAGTGCAGGTTAAGGAAAGTAATTAAAAATAAATTTATTTGTTCTGATTTACAGAATATATAATGTGTCTGGGATTTTAAGTTTTTTTTTGGTAGTTACAGGTCACAAAGCACAAGGAGTAAAATAAACTTTTAATGTGGAGCGATTTTAGAATTTGGTATGTTTGTCTTGTAAGCTTAATAGCCATAAAAGAAAACAAAATTGCCACACAAAAGTATATATTTATATAAAGTAGACATCACGGGCTATTTACCTAAGGTTGTTTTGACACTTTCTACGTAGCCATTTCACCGCCAACCTCTGCTAAATATTGGAGTAAAATTGTGTTCTTTTTGGTTTTTGGCACACAAACTTATAACAGAGAAATTCTCGTGTATATTTTGTAAAGTTGGTGTGTGCTATTCCTGTACAAAGTTTTATTTTGTGTTCAGTTACATCTGCTGAGTAAAATGACACCCCATTGTATGTCTTTTGCACTATTTCGTGAAGTTACAGTGCCATACAGGATACCTGTCCTTTTCAGTATTCACAGTAGAATTTTGAGAGATGGATTTAATGAGCCTTAGCTTCCATTTGGGGTATTATAACAGTTTGACTGTTCAAAAAAACCCCACAAAGGCCTACCATTTGTAAAAGTAGACACTCCAGGGTATCTTATAAGGTGCATATTGTGCCTTAACATGCCCCCATTTTTTCACCAATATATGCCAAAGTATGTGGTAAAAAATAATTTTGTGCATTTTTTACATACGGATTGCATTTTTTTTTTTTTTAATTCTTTATTTTTGTGGTGCAAACAAATGATACAGGCGCTTGCGTTGCCCCAACAGCAAGTACAAGATTGGCAAATACATAAATGAACACATATAGGGCATAGTAGGTCACTGCACACATTTTTCTTTTTGTAGTAGCAGCTAGGTCACATGGTATTCAAAGATGTCTAGGGTATATAGCGAAACTTAAGACATGGTTGATGTGGGTTGTATAGACATGAGTAGGTATGCGAGTGTGTGGTTTAAAACTTGCTGGTGTGACTTGCGCGTTTACAATAAACAATTAATAAACAAGTAGGTTGTTCGGCTGGCTGGTATGTCGTTATGAGATTAGTGAGTAACAAGCTATCTGAGCTGCGGCTTATTAGATGCTGTACATGCTAGTTATCAAGATACAAGGAAGAATAACAAAATTAAACACATTTGAGATGGGGACAAGCTGATAAAGGAGTTAAGTGTGAGCGGGGTAGTACACTGGAGTGTCAAATTAGTAATAACAATAAAGTACTTTCCCCTCTCTAAGAAACTGGCAATGCATGTATAAGACTGCCGAAATGGGACAGCGGTTAGTCAAAACAGAGCTCCGTGGAACAACAAAGCAGGGCATGCAAAACATATGTATTAATTAGGAACCGTGCTCAGCTGCGGTGAAGAGAGTCCTTATAGCTGCAGTCCCAGGATCTACTAATAATCGCACTTTGACATAGACTGTGTGAGGGAATCTTGCAGTGTCTCTACATTTGGGCCTGCAGGGACACAGTCTATCTCTGGGTAGATCCATCTCAGTCAGCCGATGCCGGCTCGGAGAATTTGGCATGTGGGTTGGGGACGGTGGTAGGGTGGGTGGTTTGATGGGGTTCCATCTCCCAGGGAGGCTCTCCATACGGTTCTGTCCCCTGTACGCACCCGCCCTGAATGCCGTTTGTCCTCGCTGCTTTCATCGGAAGTCTGTAGAAGCGGGGATGTACTCCGTTGGTTGAGGGCTTTGGGTGTCGCGGAGCGGTGAGTGGGACGGGCGTACTTTAGAGTCCCGTGTTGGCTTGCACGAGGGCTAGTGTTGGTGTCCGACAGGTATGTCTTCGTTTCCTGCCGCCCTGATCTTACACCTCGTCTCCGTCTGCGGGCCTCTCTGGGGGCTCGGGGTGGGTCTCTGCTCATTTGGCACCGAGTGGCAGGGCGAATCCACGCAGCCGCTTCTTTTGTCGCCTGCTTGTAGAGCCATCCCCTGGTGCAGAACTTGGTCCATAGACCGGTGCAGAGCCGGTTATAGAATTCCAGCGTGCAGTCAGGTGGTTTAACAGGGAGGCTTTTAGTCACGGGTTATGCTTGTGGCGCCATCTTGCTTGGGCCTCGACAGCCTCGTTTTCCTGTTAGTGTTGTTGCTTGGCCTTGTCTCGCTTTGGGGGTATTCTTCCCCCACGAGGACCGGGATATCCCCTGCCGGTCCACGGATTGCATTTTTGCTGGGCGTTTTGTATATTTCATATGTGCCACTAAGTTCAAACCCCCCAAATTATGCTCAGCTAAGTCTTCTGAGTAAAATGACACCCCATATGAATGTCTTTGGCACTATTTCGTGAAGCTACAGTGCCATATAGGAGACCTGTCCTTTACAGTATTCACAGTAGAATTTTGAGAGATGGATTTAATGAGCCTTAGCTTCCATTTGGGGTATTATAACAGTTTGACTGTTCAAAAAACCCCCACAAAGGCCTACCATTTGTAAAAGTAGACACTCCAGGGTATCTTATAAGGTGCATATTGTGCCTTAACATACCCCCATTTTTTCACCAATATATGCCAAAGTATGTGGTAAAAAAATTATTTTGTGCATTTTTTACATATGGATTGCATTTTTGCTGGGCGTTTTGTATATTTCATATGTGCCACTAAGTTCAAACCTCCCAAATTATGCTCAGCTAAGTCTTTTGAGTAAAAATACACCCCCAATGAATGTCTTTGTCACTATTTTGTGAAGCTACAGTGCCATATAGGAGACCAAGCCATATCCGTTTTTACCAAACTTTGAATTTTGACGCTGGGCCTATGTGCAATTTCCAAGCATCTTCGCAGGTTTTAAATTCAAACTACCCCACAAAGGCCTACCATTTCTTAAAGTAGACACCCCAGGGTGTTTCAAAAGGTATAGTTTGAACCTTAGCGTGGGATCATTTTTCCGCTAGCTTGTACCAGATGTAGTGGTAATAAGCGTTTTTTCTGCCTTTTTGACATACAAAGTGAGTTTGCACAGTATATTTTGCAAACCTTATGTGTGCTACGACTGTATAATACTTCATATGTTGCTCAGCTATGTCGGCTGAGTACAGCAATACCCCCGTATGTACCTTTGCCAGGTATGTGTGGACATCAGAGGGGCACATTTGGGACACAGCCATTCCAGTTTTTTTCAAACTTTGAATTTTTATGCTGTGCCTATGTCCCATTTTAGAGTATTTTACCAGGCTATATAATCCAAATTCCCCATAAAGCCATACCATTTCTTAAAGAAGACATCCCAGGGTATTTCAAAAGGCATATTTTGAACCTTAGCGTGGGATCATTTTTCCGCTAGCTTGTACCAAGTGTAGTGGTAATAAGCATTTTTTCTGCCTTTTTGACATACAAAGTGAGTTTGCGCAGCATATTTTGCAAACCTTATGTGTGCTATGACTGTATAATACTTCATATGTTGCTCAGCTATGTCGGCTGAGTACAGCAATACCCCCGTATGTACCTTTGCCAGGTATATGTGGATGCTGAAGGGGCGCATTTGAGACGCAGCCATTCAGTTTTTTTCTAACTTTGAAGTTTTACGCTGTGTCCATGTTCCAATTTGGAGTAGTTTAGACGGTTGGTTATTGAAGCTTCCCCACAAACACATACTATTTATTAAAGAATACACCCTGGGGTAATTCAGAAGGCATATTTTGAACCTTGGCGTGGGATAATTTTTTCTCTAGTTTGTTCCAGGTGTAGTGGTAATGAGCGTTTTTAAAATGTATTTTTTTACTTTTTATAACTTTTTTACTTTTAAAAACTAGTTTTTAAACTTTTGTTTTGCTTATAAATTTTTTTTAAACTTTCCTAAACTTTCTTAAAACTTTTTTACAGATTTAACATTTTTCTAAGCTTTTTTTTTTTACCGTTAACCCCTAACTAGCAGTACGCAGCACTAACAGTAAATTCCCCATTTTCCCATAACTCCCACCCACCCCAGCTAGCAAAATATATAGTTATAAAATATTTAAATTAATTAATTAAATAAATTGAACCCCTGAGGGTTAAAAAAATAAATAAAAGTTAATCCTCAGGGGTTAAAAAAAATTAGATCACAGTATAATACTGTGATCTCTATTTGATCGCTGTAGACAGTGATCGACTGGCAGGGAAGGGGTTAATTTTTATTTGGACTAGGTAAAGTGTGTTTTTTTTGTTTTTTTTTACTTAAATGTTATTAAAACATTTTTTTAAGCTTAATTTTTAGTTAGCCTAACGCCAAATCCCCCAATTCCCCACTAACTTCCACCTACCCCAGCTAGCTAAATATATAATTAAAAAATAATTTAATTAATTAATTTAATTAATTTAACCCCTGAGGGTTAAAAAAAAAAAAATTAACCCTCAGGGGTTAAATAAAAAAAATCAGATCATAGTAAAATGTAATCCCTGCCAATTGATCACTGTAGTCAGTGATCAATTGGCAGGGAAGGGGTTAATTTTTTATTAAAATGGGTAAGGGGGGGGGACTTTAAATTAACTTTATTTTTTTAACAGCAGGGGGCAGGATCATCACTGATCCGGCTCCCTGCACTTCACACAGAACCCGGAAGTGCAGGGAGCCGGTAGGTGAGTATACAGAGCACATGTGCTCGCTCTGACTTGTGGTCAGAGCGAGCACATGTGCTGGGCAGCCTGACCGGGTGCTCCCGGTATGCCTCTAATACAGAGGCATACCGGGAGCACCATTAACCCCGCGATCGCCGCGATAGCGGCGATCCGGGGTTAATTTTACCGCGTGACGGACGAGGTCCGTCACCCGTCGTTAAGGGTCTCCCCTCTGTGACGGACCTCGTCCGTCACCCGTCCTGAAGGGGTTAAACTATTCCATTGGGGGAGTGGGGGGGAGAAAGAAACAGCCATACACTGATCATCCACAACATAAAAAAAAATATATATATATAAAAAAAAAACTCACTTGTCGAGGGGTAGGATATATTAGGCAGCAAGTGAACAATCATTTTTTGAATTTCATGTGTTGTAAGCAGGAAAACTGGCCAAGCGCAAAGTTCTAAATAATTTTGCCATGGGCCAAATAGTGATGAGTAGATGACTGGGTAAGAGCATCTCCAAAACGGCAAGTGGGTTGTTCCAGGTATGCAGTGGTTAGTACCTACGTAATAGTGGTGCAAGGAAGGACAACCGGTGGACTGGTGTCAGGGTCATGGGTGCCCAAGGGGCACATTGATGCACGTAGGACACAAATGCTAGTCCGTCTGGTCTGATCACACAGAAGAGCTACTGTAGCTCAAATTGCTGAAAAACGTAATGCTGGCCATGATAAAGATGTCAGAACACAGTTTGCTTCTTGTGGAGCTGCACAGTCACAGACCAGTCAGAGTGCCCATGATGTCCACCACTGAAAGAGCCTTCAATGGGGACATGAGCATTAGAACTGGACCAACCATCACTGAAAGAAGATTGTCTGGTTTGATCAGTTATATTTTCTTTTAGATCAGGTGGATGGCTGGGTACATGTGTGTCATTCACCTGGAGAATAGATGGAAGCAGAATGAACTATGAGAAGAAGGCAGGCCGACAGAGGTTATGCTCTGGGCAATGTTCTGCTGGGAAGCCTTGGGTCCTGTAATTCATGTGGATGTACCTTGCCACACTGCAAAAAAAGTGTTCAAAAATAGTTGCCTTGGCCTCCAGATTCCCCAGATGTCAATCCAATTTGAGCATCTGTGGGATGTGCTGCAACAATAAATCCGATCCATGGAGTCCCCACTTTGCAGGACTTAAAAGATCTGCTGCTAATGTCTTGGTTTCAAACACAACAGCAGATGTTCATAGGTCTAGTGGAGTCCATGCTTCAACACAGTAGAGCTCATTTGGCAGCACAAGGGGACCTACATTAGGCAGAAGGTGTTAATTTTGTGGCTGATCAGTGTATGAGCATATATGACTTTTAGCCAAAGTAAGTAATCAGTAGGAAATTACCATATACTCTATTTGCCAAGAACACCCCTTTGATGTTTAGATTTGGTGAGGTTATGTTAAATTACCAGTTATTTCTTATTATGCTTTGTACAGCTTTCATTCTCATACATCAGCTAGTTAAAACAGAGGTGATATCACTGTTTTAGAACTGGGAATCCAAGTTTAAATCTAATTTAAGACACCTTCATCAGTAATGGTCCTTGGCCAAAACAAGTAACGATATCGATCTGCCTACTTCATATCTTGTAAGCTTGTTTGAGCAGGACCTTCTTCATCTCTAAATATGCCCTCTCTATGATTGTAAAGGCTGCAAAATACGTTGGTGTTATATAAAAGAATACAATATTCTTTGGTTGATCACTAGTGGAATATATCATAAAATGTAGGGTAAAGCTGCATTGTGTATAAATCTAGTGCCACTGTTTATGGTACCTTATATTGATCTTCCATTACTTCTCCAATGTATACATATAACAACTGTTGGCCTATTTACCAAATCACACTTGTAGACAACATGTGTAAGCATTAACAATTAAAGTAACTTAGGTTCTACCAAATTGAACTCACAAACTACAAATCGATAAACGGTCTCCTCCACAAGTTAGACAGAAAGTCACTGTGAACAATGAATTAATGAAAAATAAAAAAGGGTAAATATGTTAGATCTGCCTACTTCTCATCTACCTTGCCGTTCATCCATGCCTTATCCCTCAGATTGTGGGTTTATGAGCCAAAGCCGGATAGCCTTCCGTAAAACTGACATGTTGTAAACCTTTTTATAAACGGTCCTTAATTTTGTGAAATCCGTTGGTGTTATAAATATAAATGACAATAATAATTCAGGTATGGTGAATAGACCTTGTTGTTAAATAAAAAAAACATATTAAAAGTACTAAATTTGTTGGCATATGGAAAGTAAAATATTTGTAAGCTGTAAGATCTTACCCTAATAGGATAGACCACTGCTTCTTTTACCAGTCTCTTGGCTGCATCAAGACCAATGATATCATCCCATCTCACGTTGGGATTCTGGAGATATATGTCCTGGAAAATGATACAAAACTAGTTCAATCCAAACGTTTACAAAAGCAGTGTGCAACCGTCTACAAATTAGTATTGTTTCATTACTTTTTGATAATGCAAATGCCTACACCTAAACTAGTGGTGTTATATATTTTACATATTTAGCTCAGTTCCCATTCATTTACAGGAGCTTTTTTTGTAAATGTTGATGGTCAATGGATAACGAAAACAGGGAGTGACTTTACAAAACTGCATCCTTCCTAATATTTCACATGAAGATATTGTGCTAGCGCATTTGCTAGCAATTGTATCAATGGAGTTATATCATTTTTGCAATCAAAAGGACAAAAAAAAAAAAAAAACACAGTCAAGAAAACCCATGACAACCAAAAGGTAAGGCTAAAAGAATAAAAAAAATAAAAAAAAAAAATCTTTAAGCAACAAATGAATATAAGAAAAAACATAATCCAATCAACTCACACAACCTGCCCTTTAGTGTTTGAATCATAAATACATTTAAAATGTACAAAACTGTCCTACGTGCTTAGAATGGAATTCAGATTCAACAGCGTCCCCTATTGAACCATGATGTTAATCTAAATGTATATACACACACACACACACACACACACACACACACACAACGAAGCCTCCATGCCAATTACTGGGTAAAAAAAAAAATTTTTTTAAAAGACCATACATGGGATGGGTGTATATGTAATAAATGCTTATATAGAATACATGGGCCATCCAGTCAAGAGGCTCAGAAATAACAGAGCATACCCTAACCATGGTGTACTCATACACCAAAACATGCATCGGGCTTCTTTGTTTTTCCTTTTAAATTTCACTATGGGTAGCACTTAAACATTTTTTTACCATACCCTATTTCAGTTCTATGTAGGCGCACTACTCCTTGGTGTGTGCAGAGGTTGTTGCAGGGATTGGGGTTCTTAAGGTTTCCTGAGGCGATTACCCCGTCCAGACATTAAGCCTTCGGATATGGGTTTATTCCCAACTATACCTTTTCACATTTTTTGTACTGTACTTACTTATGTATTTAGGAATGCTCAGTTATTTCTGAGCCTCCTGTATATTATAGACTTATAAGCATTTATTAAATATACCCCATTCCCATGTAAGGTCCTTTCATGTATTGTGGCTTAAATAAAGATTATATTATTGTAGCCTTACCTCATGTACTCAGGTGACCTTTTGGTTGTCGTGGGTTTTCTTACCTGTTCATTTCCTTCTGATTATTCTGTTTTTTTGGGTTACCCCCTTGATTATAGATCAAGGCTATTATAACCTTCATTCTGCACTCTTAGTGCCAATTCTCTCTATTTTATATCAATTTTAGAATTTTGTTTTGTTTTTTAGCCTTCATGGTCACATTCATGCCAAGATTGAAGGGAACATTCAGGCAAGTATATTTTTGAATCTAAACATTTACTTGTGAGTTTGTCAGCACAATGTACAGATCTATACCTGCAATATGTGAGGCCAGGTCCACTTTACTATTATAACTCAATTACTCTTGCATTTTATATGATATACAAGTTTACGGATGACCTCCAGCTGAACTACAACTTCCATGGTGCTTTGCAAGTTAAAACAAAAGAATCTGGAAAAAATAAAATTAAAAAAGACACCTTCATAGCATGGAAGGGTTACATATATTTATTGTAATATGTATCAAAAATAAGAAAGTGCTACACTCTATGATTGAGAAGCTGAAAAGTATAAAACTGAATTACAAATAAGGACAATAAAAATCCTCTCATCCAAGCTGACTTATCCAATGTAAGAGTTCAAATAGGTTTCTAATTTGGTTTGAATAAAATGGAGGATCATACTCGACTTATGACGGCAGCCAGTTCCCGCATCTCGCTGTTTGCTCCGATGAATGCACTCACTGGTTTAATTAAACGTTCCTGGAAGCAATATAAGAAGAATTAAACAACCAATAAAAATATTGAGGTTCTTGGGAAAAGTATCACATATTTAAATTAAAATGCTATCCAATTCAAGGGATGGGATTTGGTAGTAATTGTAAATCATGTGCATTCTCCAACTTACCGATGGATCGGGATTAGAATTTAGACTATTCAAAGCTATTTCATTTGACGCTCCTTTGATTGCATCTTGAATCATACCACGAAAATCTATTATTTGGCCCTAAAAGTAAGATGAATATAAAGAAATGATTGAATAACTTTAAAAATCACATTCTGCAGAAGAATTGTTTATAACAGCCACAGGACAGGTTAGGGATCATTAGGTGAACTCTGTCGAAACAAAGTGGCATTTGCAGAACGGACTCAATAAGGGGGCAGTGGGAATTAAGCTACAAATTCCAGGAATGGCGTTTTAAAGAAATTTACCATACAGAAATCATTTTGGGACTGTCCACCCTCCAATTGGGTTCCCCTAGTGGAGAACACTTTAGAAGCATATGGGCCCAAGATTTTGAGGTAACTTCAATGTACGTTTTTTTCTATTAGTGGCCCCACAAGTGTGGAAAATAAGACAGCTCAAACCACAACGGGGAGCACACAAACGGAGAGCAGGGATAGAGAAGGAAAAGCAAACAAAAATTAACCATAAAGGGAACTACAGGCAGCAGAAAATAAACACAACTAAAGTAAGACTAGAAGAATTTTTTAAATAACCATCAATAATTTGTAGTACTGATGTATAGCCCAATAAATGCAGGTGTAACTGCAACACATTAAAAATATAGAGAAAAAAAAAATCACACGCAGTTCCTCTTTGTAAGGGAATTATCACACACTAATACATAATAAGTACCTATGTTTATTCCATAATGTATGGTGCATGAAGCTCTCCCACTCCTACTTATCTTCTCTCTATCACTTATAACGCAAATAGATTATCTATATTACCACTGTTTTATGGACTGAGAATGCATAGTTCACATAGTGTGCTCTCATTTATGAATGTAACTGCTGCTGATTGCTGTACTACATGTCCCACAAACTAATGCCAAGCAGAGAACAATGGGAGGGCCAGAACCCAATGTAAAAGTTGACAAGCAGGATGTATGGATTCCTCACACAGGCAAAATCTACATCATGCTAAACAGCAAATGTGAGATCAGCACTAAAGGGCACGTGTCAGTGGTCCCATGTGCTGTACAGTAGCCAATAAGACCATAGATAACCCTAAAGTCAAAAAGAGCTGGGGATCCTAAGAACACTATCTAAGCAGTGGGAACCCACAATTGGATTTCAGTTTTAAACATGGAGGTCCCAGAGACACCCATCATGACCTGTAGGCAGGTACGAACACTGCAATGTCAAAAACCTACTATATAACAAAAGCCAATGATTGTATTGTATTTCAATATACATGACCTCCAGAAAGACTTATGTACTACAGTGCATATGTTTAAAGGGACACCGTAGGCACTGTATCTGCTTCATAAAACTGGTTATAGTGTATGGAGTCCCCTGGTGCCATCATTTCTTTCAGCATTAAACAGTTTTTAATGCTAAACAAGAGACCACGGCAGTCCATGCCCTCTGTGCTGCTTTGGCTAATAAGGAAGTATTACCCTGAGAGGCAATTGGCAGCAGTGATTGGCTGAGAGTGTCAGCTGACTGCTTTTAACCTGGCAGAGTTCCAACTGACGGTATGAATGGGTAGGACAACAAGGAAGTGTGTAATCTCTGCCTTAGCTACACATACAGAAGGGGCCGGACTGTGGGTGGCCAGGGACTCTTATTTTGTAGCATACTGCACAAAACATGGTGCAACACTGAATGGAGGGACAGTGCCAGGGCACTCCAGGCACTATAACCAATTCAAAGAGACAAAGTGGTTATAGTGACTACAGTGTCCCTTTAATTACTAGAATAGCAAATAGCAAGCAGTATATGCTCTGCAATCATCTAATTCTCCACCTGACATCTCTCACAATGCCAAGTGAAGACAGTGTAGGTACAAGTTGGGTGAGACCATGGGAATTGACATTCATAACCGCTGGTGAGATACCATTTGGTGAGAAACCAAAGTTTCCTAAGTATCACTGACCCTTCGAGGATGACTACCTTCTGTTCCTCCATTTTTGTTTACTGCTGAAACATTTAGACCATATTCAGAGATCTCTGCAGGGCTATGGCTGCCATTGGCCTGTAAAATAAAGAATTTATCGAAACAAATATTAATGGGTGAAATAAATTATTGGAACAGGAGTGATTATTTACATTATTTACAGTGATTACATTATGATTGTGCTAATTGATTTAACCCACTGATACTTCTACCCATATTAATTCTAGTAACTCGGTTCTTTCTCCAACGTTCTGCAGAGTACATCCATGTCATCCTATTTATATACTTACATAAAACAAATGGCTTTCAATAGTAGATTGAACCGTCAGAACAACCCTAATCACTTTCTCTGGTTATTGGTGAACGGCTTTAGAAACAGCAGGTGTGATTCATTGGGAAAAGGAGAAAGTACTCTGCCACTACAATTAGCTTTATGTATGTTATCATTCTGCTGCACTAAATGTAATCCAAGGCCAATCACTCTACTGTAGTGAAAGCAACTTCAAGGCAGCCATTCTATTGTACTGAACGTAACTCCAGCGCATCTATCCTGCACTACGGAATGTAACTCTAAATTACCTCTTCAAAAGCTACCAAACGTTACTCCAGAGTATCCATTCTACTCTACGGAATGGAGTTCCACAGTATTAGTCTCCTAATTGTTAACAGGCTACTAGATGACACATTATATCTAACCTGTATGAATGCATAGGCTGCATAATTAAAATGTACCACCAAGTGAAGTTAATCGTTGTTGACTGTCATAAAGTAATGCGGATGAGATTAAATATTTAGATTGGAAATATATTTGATGGTTTTCCAGTTGGCATTTTATCAGATCCATTGCTGGTTAATCACTGGGTGTATTCAAATAAATATATTTAGCTAAAATAACACCCCATTAAAACAGAATATGAAAGCATGTATTGTTTCTACAGCACTGGATAAATAAAAAATCCTTATCGAATGGATCTGTAAGATGTGCAATTACATTTATGGTAGAGCTCTATGGGTAGACATTAAGACCTGGATTTAATATTGCTAGATAAGTTTTACAAAAGGATTTAATATTTTTGGATAAAGTTTTAAAATGATTTAATATTATGAATTTTATAATATTTACATTTTTTTTATATTTAATATGTTGGAAATTTTTTTTTTTTTTTTTTTTTTAATAAGTTTATCCAAAAATATTAAATCATTTGGATAGCTTAGCCAACAATATTAACTGGAGGTCTTACTGTCCAGAAAACAGTGGATGCTCTATTACACCTGGATATGAATGTCTTAAAAGGGTAGTTACCTTAAAGCAATGCTTCACCTAGCCTTCACAGGGCCCCCATCCTCAGGGTCCCCCTCCCGCCGGGCTGTGGGGAGAGGAAGGGGTTAAAATCGTACCTTTCTCCAGCGCCGGGTGAGGAGCTTTCCTCCTCCTCCTCTCCTTCTTCCTAGCGACGTCATCGGCTGAATGCGCATGCGCGGCAGGAGCCGCGCATTCAGCCAATCTCATAAGAAAGCATTCATAATGCTTTCCTATGGACGCTGGCATCTTCTCACTGTGACTTTCAATGAGACAGCCACTAGAGGCTTTAGAGGCTGGATTAACCCTCAGTGTAAACATAGCAGTTTCTCTGACACTGCTATGTATATATATAAAAAATTAAAAAAAAGGGTTAATCCTATCTGGACCTGGCACCCAGACCACTTCATTAAGCTGAAGTGGTCTGGGTGCCTACAGTGGTCCTTTAAGACATTATTATATTAAACATAACCATACACATTCTTTCCTCTGACATCATCTCAAAATTAAGGTTATTCCCCTCCATACTATAGCCTATCCAAAATCAGATTAATGTGTTGCCTATAACTATTTCCATCATACATTTAGCATCCATGATATTCTTTAGAATTCTACAGCACATCATACATTATAATCCCTATAACTTTTCACCATGCCATCTGCAATCAAGAACTTCAGTCTCTGATGAGCTAAAACACAAGAGATTGGAATTCCATGAACTGGACCTTATGATGGGCTACAGAGACCAGTTATACAAAATTATGTAAAACCGTAAGCATTTTCACTTTAGGTAAAAGTTACCTGTTTAGCATTCTCTCTGTTTTGTGGTTTAATAGTCTCTGTTGTCCTAGAGTTGTACCTGGACACAGGTCTTTGTGTCGTGTGATGTTGGCCGATACGTGGAAGACCATAGGAAGAATTGCTGACTGTTCTATGAGACAAAAGAATTAGATGTCAAACATTTTTATATACACCAAAACAGGGACATTGACGGCGAGTGGTCTTGTGCCTTTTCTGTCCTCTTAAAGTAGAGCTGGTGATTATTTAGCAGGCTGACATGTTCATTTAAAGGGAATGCTATTTTGAGGTTTAAATCAGAACACAGCATGAAAAATTAAACCAAAAAAAAAAAGTTTACTTGTTTTCGAAGAGTGCAGTTACCTTCTCAGTTTTCCTCCACTTTGCGGTGTAGATCCAACTCTGCCATCTAATTAAAAACAAAAGAGAGAAACATAATTGAGAAGCCAAATATTAAATATGTATTTCAAAATCAAACGTACTTGCTTGTATAGTGTCAATAACAAACTTTGAGCTACAGTATATGTATTTATAATTAATTGTTTTGATACCTGTATTCATTTTATGTAACAGTAACGGGTATACTTACATATTGGAGGTTAGACGGTAGAATGACGTACGGGTGCAGTAATTTGAGAATGTATTACTATTGTATTCAGAAAGCAGATGATATCTATTTAGCACTGTTCAAGCTACACTAATGTAGACTACAATGTATTTATATTGTATCAATATAGAATTTCAGCTCACTTTGCTTATATATCTTCTCAGATGCCATGTTGAATTTCATTTTTAAATACATTTGATTCTCCTTATCTAGATGATATAGTTGCTAGCACAATGTATAGATGAAGATTATAAAAAAAGAGGGGGGAGGGAATACATGTGCCAAACACAACAGGTGTCCCTTAAATGTGCTAGGACATTTGCAGACAACTGCAAGAAAAGTAACTCTACTAAACCTGAATTGTGGAGGAATAAGTGATTTTAAAATTTGGCCCTAAAACAGCTATTTGATTTTAATTGGCATTTTATTGTCAATCCACTACAATACCTAGTTTAGAGAACAAACTGGAAAACGGTTTGTGGCACCAGCAAATAAACATTTCTGGAATACACCACAAAAGGCAAATTAAAGGAACAGCCAACTGAAGTGTTTATGGTGCCAAGAGTGCCCTGGGCATATAGTGGTTATGGTGCTTGAAGTATTGCTTTAATTAATTTATACTGGGTCCTGGGAATTGTTTCTCTAAGTCTTTATATCTGCAGTTACGGAAGCCCCATATATTCGGCTGTTGTCATTCCTGGTTAAGTTCCTATATTGGTGTCTAAGCAACATACCTTGATCAGACATTCTCTTTGTGATTTTAGGGTATTTCTGAAATTTGACATAATAATAGCTTTCATATTCCATCAAAATAGTTTCCAGATCAATGTTATCACAAACTTCAAACCGCCTCAAGCCTAATTTTGTTTCATTTTCCAGCGTATTCGCAGAATCCACATACCTGGAGATTTAAGAACAGCGTGAAAATCAAATTAAAATATCATATGAACATATTATTTATTTTCATATATGATATTTAATATTCTGGAGATAAATTATTCCTTCACCATTATTATTTTACAATTTGTGTGTTAATTTATTGGATTATATTGTAAAGCCTTTAAACAACTTACTTCAAAATGAAAGAAAACGTGTTTCATTTAAAAGTTAAAGTAAGCAAAGTTATATTGCCAACACATTCCTAAGCAAAGTACAAGGAACATTTAAAATACATAAGAGGATAATACATACCCTTCTTGCATTAAGTAATGCATGATAAGAATCAAGAGGTTTTTGCGTCTAGCTTCCGTTCGTAACTCCTCCTATGCAACAAAAAAACAAAAAAAAAAAAGTCTATTTTCAATTCAATATTATGATTGAAATAATTGTAATTTTTGACTTATTAAAGAGACATTCTAGACAGCTAAAGATTGCTGAAAAGCTTTACGTTTGAAGAGTGTGTCCCAATTTCTTTTTTTTTTTTTTTTTTACAAAAGTGCAGATTTCATTAGAAATTGACAATTTGGAATTAACCTGCTTACACCTTCCTTGCTTTCAAGCACAAACCCAGTCTTGTTACTTCCTGGTTTGGTTAGCTCAGTGGGGCTAAACTTGAGAGGCAGCAATTGCCCAGAGCTCCTGCCTTGCAAAGACTTCTCATTGAGCTGCACTGGGAAGTCTGAACGGACAGCCACAGAAAGTCTGGGCAGAGTGTGAACAAAAACAAAACAATAAATAAACACTAGTATGTGAAAAGTCATTGTAATACGTGAAAAAGGTGGTGTCCCAGGTGTACCTGGCAAAACCAATATAAATACAGAAAAAGTAAAAAATGTGGGAAACCACAATACACCTTTATAATAAAAAAAAATTATAACAACCTGGAAAAATAAGAGTCCAATATTGCACTTGAGTGAAAAATGGCATTGAAAAGAAATTATAAATGGTACATCGTGTAATACAGTATTGGAAAAAATTTGAAAAATAATAGTAGTATGTGTGGCGGAGCCTGCGCCAGACTAACAGATTAACTGGTGCAGAACTCCAAATGCATCAATCCCCAAAAAAGATACTCATTCCCCTATCCTCACAGTGCTAAGCAATCAATTACAACTAATGTAGGAGAAACTATCTGCCGCCTCTGCACCCTTATTTGAATAGCCATGGGAGTGCTTTTTTGAAGGGAGGAGGACAACCAATAATCGCTCACCGAGAGTCATGGGGAGCCCCCTTTTCCTAAACCAGGAACAAAATGTTTTCCACGATCGGCACTTAGCCACAGCAGCCTGGACCACTGCGCCAAATCGGGATGAAGCCTCAGCCCGGTCAAACTTCACTGCACATTTTCTCAGTGGTTTTTAGTGTTTTATTATACAGTGGATAAAATGCAACAGAAACATACAATGGTTGTGGAAAATAACATAGTGAGGAAATATAATTATAGTAAAAATTACCCCTATTCACTGCAAATCTGTAGATAAAACAGGACTCCTCCAGGACCTCAATACAAACATAGAAACAAAGAATGTGACGGCAGATAAGAACCATTCGGCCCATCTAGTCTGCCCAATTTTCTAAATACTTTCATTAGTCCCTGGCCTTATCTTATATTTAAGATATCCTTATGCCTTTCCCACACATGCTTAAACTCCTTTACTGTGTTAACCTCTACCACTTCAGCTGGAAGGCTATTTCATGCATCCACTACCCTCTCAGTAAAATAATACTTCCTGATATTTTTAAACCTTTGCCCCTCTAATGTAAGACTATGTCCTCTTGTTGGGGTAGTTTTTCTTCTTTAAAATAGTCTCCTCCTGTACCGTGTTGATTCCCTTTATGTATTTAAAATGCTTCTATCACATCCCCCCTTCTTGTCTTTCCTCCCATGGTAAAGCATTGGATTGGCTAAAAATTGGCAATTCTGATGATGTCACCAAAGGGGCAGGGCCAGTGAACCCACACGGCGCTGGAAATAAGGTGAGTTTTATTAATTTTTAAGGGGGCTAATGGGTGGGGGGGAGGGCAAGGCACCTAAATGGTGGGTTTTGAACTATGGGTTCAGGAATACATATTTGTGTTCCTGACCCTATAGTGTTCCTTTAACTACACAATTTAAAGTTGTCACTGTTTGTTGATCTTCAGCATCACTATGCAACATGTAAACTATACAGCAGGTAAACATTTGTTTGTATTGTATCACTCGTTTCTATGTATTATGTGAACTTTATGTCACAATGTATCAATTGACTATAACAAAACCACCTGCAGATATTCATTAGAAAATACTATGAGCCATGTCATAGATTACATTCAATGTGAAAGGTCTGCTTGGAATGAAATTATTTGCTATAGGATTCTACCCATTGCGGTTTCTTTAGCCTCTCTGGTAACACTAAGAACCTGGACGACCCCAGCTATAGAAATTCACATACCATCACGGATACTATTGGTTTTCTCATACTTTTTGTCCGGATAGTGAAATTGACCAAATTTCAACTGCAAATTTAGACAGCCAAAGCAAATCCATAACAATTGCCTGGATGCATTTGGTGTACAATATATAGGATTCAGAAGATTCACAAACTACCGTTTAAAAAAAATAAAAAATTATTGAAACCATTGCCGAAAGCTCCTACAGAGGCTTTCCCAAGCTGTCAGTTATTACTTTGCGAGGAAAAAGTTCCTACACTATTCAATATAAGTAACAGCACTTTGATCAGTTGGATATTAAGCCAATCAATCAGAGCGATCTGACAGCAAAAAGTCCCGAGAGAAGTTTCACGGATTCCAGAACCTTAATAAAAGAAAAAAAAAAAAGCATATTACTTTAAGGCTTTAAATTTCCGTGATAAGGTGCTGTTAGCTGGCATTTTGATGATATACGTTGAAATTGAAGAAAACCAATTAATATGTAAATAGTAGGATTAATTGAGAGTGTGATTTTTGTGAAAATCAATGTTGTTTCAGTAGGTTTGCTTAACATTTATGTAATTTGCAAATATTTATTTTTTAGTTACATGGCAGGGACAGTGTTTAATTGACTAGGAGTGTGCAAGTGCAAGAAGTATTACTAAATAAATGTAAAAACATTGAATTTTAAGAAAGATAAACTGTATAAAAGCTAATGAATGGAAATTAAGTAATTAAAAAAAAAAAAAAAAACACTCCACGCCATCTAAAAATAATTAGTAAACACTAAAAAAATGCAAAAAAAAATTAAAATCTAATTCCAAAAGCAATTAAATCTAAGTACTTCAATAACTGAACAACATTTATTAATGTGATTAACTTAATTAAATGATTCCATTCACCAGCACGAGTAGATAAGAGCACTTAATTTCACTCTAAGTAGAAATTTTAAAGTAATTAAGAAAATTACTTCCAAATAGGTTTAAAGTGAGAATGTTATTTAATGATAAACTTACGCTGTTTCAGTACATTTCATACCTCCTGCCATTTTTAAATGGATGTAGGTGGTAAACATTTTTTTTTTTTTTAAAGGTTAGACACTTGTGGCATTACTAAGAAAGTTTATTTAAAGGAACACACAATGCTGAAAATAAATATATTTATATAATTTTATATTTTAATATTAAAGAGTTCATATTTTGGTGTAAATTACTTGGCACCCTTTTTAATAAAAAAAATAATAATAATAAAGGCATATATGCCCCAGAACCACTACATTTAAACATGGCAGTTTTGGGGTTAATAGCATCCCGTTACTGCAGTTTTGTGACTCAGTAAATTAGGGGTAAATTGCTATACGTCATATTTGTAGATAGATAAATTTGCTGGAAAACAAAATTCTGGTCAATTATTATTTTTTCATTTTGCAGAAGTTCACGATATTTACAACATGAATACATCAAGAGAAATAAATATTCAGAGATAGTGGGGTATATTACATGGGTGCGTTATTAAATGATAGATAAAGATTTATAACGTTTGCCTGGTATGTTTGTAAATCTCCTAAATTAATGTGAACTAATTTCTGCCCTATTACAAAAATAAATATTACTGAATTTTTTTACATCCAGGTATGAGTGGGTGCAGTGTATATAAAAATAAATAAACGGAAAAAATAAAAACACAAACTATAATTACATACAGTTGACTAGAGGATTCATCAATCTGTTGAGGGAATCCACTTTTTCCATTAACTGATCACATGTTGCATATAGGCAGAAGGAATAGCAGAGAGCATATTGTTCCCTCCCTTCTGGTATGAGTAAACCAATGGACATCCACATTTATTAGATAAATCCATATCTCAAACACTACAAAGCAGGGAAAAAGAGTAGCTACATGTTCTGTGTTTTTTACCCTAACCCCACTGCAATTGGTTTAAGGGAATTGGTAGGGTTTTTCCACTAGCACCCTTTGGTTAACAGGTGGAAAAAAAAAAATATTGTGGATGTCCTCCACTTGCTGCACATTACTCGGATAACAGAAACAGAATGTGACGGCAAATAAGAACCATTCAGCCCATCTAGTTTGCCCAATTTTCCAAATACTTTCATTAGTCCCTGGCCTTATCTTATAGTTAGGATAGCCTTATGCATCTCCCATGCATGCTTAAAGGAGCACTATAGTGCCAGGAAAACAAACTTTAGGTCCCCCCCACCCTCAGGACCCCCACCCGCCGGGCTGAATAGGTTAAAAACCCTTCAGCCACTTACCTTTCTCCAGCACCAGGGATCCCACTGTACTGGGGAATTCTCCACCCCCTGCCGACGGCAGATCGGAATGTGCATGCGCGTCAAGAGCCACACGCGCATTCAAACCGCCCATAGGAATGCATTACTCAATGCTTTCCTATGGACATCCAGCGTCTTCTCACTGTGATTTTCACAGTGAGAATCGCGGAAGCGGCTCTAGCGGCTGTTAGTGAGACAGCCACTAGAGGCTGGATTGATCCCCCCTGCCCTCCCTGTGTAAACATAGCAGTTTCTCTGAAACTATGTTTTCAGCTGCAGGGTTAAAACTAGAGGGATCTGGCACCCAAACCACTTCATTGAGCTGAAATGGTCTGGGTGCCTATAGTGGAACTTTAAGCATAAGGCTGCAGGGAAAGTGATACTCTTTTGCTCCTTTTTTTTTGTAGGGGGTAATCTCGAGACCGTTTGGGGTCCGATCATATCTAAAACACTTGCAGCCCCTATTTTATTATCAAAACAGTGTATTGGAAGAAATTAACTTATATACATTCAAAAAACAAGAAGAACCTTATATCTCACATGTGCTGCACTTAAAGGATTAAACTACAACCAGGCTTTATTACTGCCTGTGTTGTAAGTAATAAACCTATCTGGGATTGATGGGAGTCAAGGTTCACAATATCTTGAGGATATGTATCCCAAAATGTAATATACATTAATCCTCCAATCTTACGAACCGGATATCCCTAAACTGGCATTATTAATAGCACCGTAATGATGTTGCATTTATACATTGAATTACAGTGATGGAGAAATGTCACATGATATTTTGTACAGACCATTCTGATCGCATTGCTTTTAAAACAAAATTATAAAGCACATTTGCTGCAGTTTAACATTTTGAGTGCCAGCGGTGTGCCCAACAAATTGCCTTGTACACCTGTGGCACTCAGAGGGTAAAGGCACAGGTCTTCAATATAGATGGTCATCTATTAAACAGTGAACAGGGGGGAATTCATCTGGAAAAACAGGAGACTTGGAGAATCAGTTCTGCTATTCTGGCTTACAACTGGCAATTCAGGGGCAATCTAGAGATCCTAGTTAAGAGTGAAACAAGGTCGGAAATGATGAACAGAGAGAGAGAGAGAGAGAGAGAGAGAGAGAGAGAGACTTTCCTAATGAAAGGCTACCAGACATGCTGTTGCTATGTTTGTATAGTCAGGCTTCCCTGAACAGCAATTATCTGACCCCACACAAAGCTGAAGCACAATCTATACGTAGTCTCACTATGAGCAGTGAAGACAAAGACTTAATATCTTAATGCCCTAAGGTCTCGTGTCGGTAATACTTTTAGTAAGTAACATTCACAAGGCTGTCTGGATTGAATTTCAATAGTAATACACCTACTTTAACATCTATAATAGAGTCTAAGGTCAGAATCCACCAAAATACTAGTCAGATGCTTTAGAATTTACTCATTAAACAAGTAATTGTAGTAAAGTTTAAACTACATAGCATCATTTAGACTAAAATAGCCGAGCTGTGACTAAATGTATTATTACCATTATGATCATCACGTACTAAACTGTGATTATGCTAAGTGGAAATCCAATGGCAAAAAACTGTACTAAAATAAACAAGGTTTACCAGCAGCTTTCTGGGATAAATATTGCTTTCAGTTTCATCTCCACAATTCAATGTTTAGTGAACAAACGTCACAGCAAAGACTAAATCATGTATGTAAGATTGGGCTACTGGTAGTCCATCTGATGACCCCGTTTAAAATCGACATGTTTACTTGCAAGGCATAGCCAGGGAAGGAGTAGTACCGGTACCTAACTCTGTCCTTTCTTGTTGCCACTTTGCATTCAATTCGTGGCAGCATCATCTGCCAGGGATTTAAATCATCATCATTGTACTCCTAAGATCTTCTCGTGAATGTGCAATAAGATGCATGTTCCTATCAGCAGTTGGGACTGACATCTTTAAATTTATGGCACCAACTTATTCTTTAAAATGTTTTTTTTAATTTTGAAAAATATTATGGCAATTAATAAATGAAAATGGTAATGATCTACATAAGATAATATAACAGGCAATGGTCACAAACAGAAATGTATATACATAACCAGAATACAGAAGCAGAGATAATGAACTTGAAGTTATTAAAGGTCCACTATAGGCACCCAGACCACTTCAGCTCAATGAAGCTGTCTAGTTGCCAGGTCCCCCAGGTTTTAACCCTTCAGATGTAAACATAGCAGTTTCAGAGAAAATCGCATTGAGGACACGCTGGACATCCATAGGAAAGCATTGAGTACCCTAGGATCAGCCATGACTCCAATCATCATAAACATTACAGCCTAGTGTAGTGGTTATGATGCCATGGTATCCTGGCCCGGTTCCCTAGTAATGGAGCAAGTCGCTTAGTAATAGCTTGTCCCCATAACTGGGTGCCCACCAGCTTCAATGCTCCAAGGTGTCAAGTGATGTGCTACCAAAGTTGTAAACCGCAGCCATATGACAGCTGACCACTCTCAGAACTTTAGTTCTCGGCTGACTGATGACACCCCAATGACACTGCTAGAAGTGGAGTTTAACTCAGTATGTGAAGCATACATAGCAACATGACACACATACAGACAGAAGGCACCACAACCACTTCAACTTACTTAAGTGGTTACCCCCTACTCCAGATCTCTAAACACTTTAGTTGCTTAAAAGCGTTCTGTGCTTCTCGCACATTAGGCCCTCCCCATAGGAAAGCATTGAATTCATAATTTATTTTAAAAATTAATTTTCCTATGGGGAAATAACTGACGCAGTGTCCAGCATCATTTGCCGGACCAAATGTGCCTATAGTGTCGCTTTAAGGTTATATGCAAAGGGTGTAGTTTTTTTTTTTTTTTTAGGTATAATGAATAACCCTAATATTGTTCAGGTCAAAACGGTGATATTTAAAGTGCCAAATTTCAACATCCAGTACCTTAAGTATTACAGTAAAATATGTGACTACAGACATATTCTTACACATATACCTACATGTTGCTGCAGTTTTTTCCTGTTTCTTGAAATTCTTACATATACCCCTAATATTAACCCCTTAAGGACCAAACTTCTGTAATAAAAAGGAATCATGACACGTGTCCTTAAGGGGTTTAATAATAATCATCAATGATAGTTAGACCATGTCCCAGTTCTCACACTGAGCATGCGCACTGCACGGACCCGGAAGCAGTTGGAACGCAAGCAGTTGGAACGCATGGACCGTCTCCATAGCAACCAAAGCCAACGGCGCTCACAGTGTGCCACAAACCGGCTCCAATCATACGATACTGTACACGGTAACCGATAAACCGATACTATAACCAATACGGGGGGGAGGGGCGGTAATATTGACAGTGCTCGGGTAACCCGCCCCTACCCTGTGGCAAATCACAGGCTCGCTGGGCATCATGGGAGAGAACTTACCGCCTCTCTGCTCTGGGAAGCCGTCTTGATGGACGCCAGCTCCATGCTGGGGGTCGGCCGCTTTATCGCAATGTCTGACAGGGTTTCATACACACCGAGGACAAGATCTGTCCGGGGGCGGGACTCGAGGCTGCCACTCAGCGTAACGGGCCAATGGCAGACCATGTGGGCGGGGCATCCCCATTCATGGACCAATAGAAGAGACTGAGGGAGTGGCCTGGGCAGGTGACAGACACAGTGCACCTGTTATTCAATAAAGTGGGACTTGTCAGAACCTCAAAGGGAAATGCACATTTTAGTTAAAATAACAGAACTGGAAACTGGCTAACTTGGAGAATTTTTGGTTTCCAATTCAGCTATGTTGTCCTAAAATTTGAAATTCACTTTGAGTTATTATTATTGTTTACACAGCATCATTACTTTTCACTGCATTTTATAGTAATATAATGGGGATATTTACAGTAATATAATGGGGATATTTACAGTAATATAATGGGGATATTTACAGTAATATAATGGGGATATTTACAATAATAAAATGGGGATAGTTACAATAATATTGGATATTTACAATACATTATCCACATACACAACCGACAATTAAACCCTAAAACTAAATTTAAAACATAGTCCAAGTGGAAGTATTGCATATTCAGCTAAGGAATTTTGGCTAAGTCCCTTGTCATCATTTTAAATGAAACTTGATTAGTTCCAATTCAAAACGTATATTAATCACCTAATAATCCTTAAAAGTGCTGGAAATAGGTCAATAATCACTCATACAAAATTATGAAATACTTATGTCGCTTGTGTGAGAATTTTAACTCAATCGAAAGATATCATAAAACAAAGTAGAGACTACTTTGTCTTTTGGTCAAAGCCAAGGTTGGCAAAAGCTGTAAAAGGGTGACGTTTTCACCGGCAACTTTTCTCATTTCCAGTGGGAAAATGCATCTTCTTGCACATCGCAGATAAGTGGAAGTACAACAGTGCCCAGGGCTCCTGGCAGAGGAACTATTAGGAGCTGAGGTTGTACCCTGGACAAAGTTATCAGCACCAAGAAGAGAGAACTTCAGATAACTACATCTCACCTCCTTTAGTTTCTCGCCCAGCTGCCACAATTCTAGCAGGCTTCGCTTCTTGGGGGAGACTTTGCAAGAAAAGCAAAAACCACGAGAGTGACAGAGCTGCTTTAAAAATTCATGAAGGAGGCAGGGGTTCCTTATCTCCTAGTGCAGGGGTAAGCAACCTTTTAGCAGCACTCTGCCGATATAGGATTGTGATGTCCCGTAGCGTGCCGGTCCTATTTTTTTAAATTGAGGTGTGTATGCTGCTGTATTCTGCTTGTGTTATGTTTACTGTAATTGCTTTGTATCGTTGTATTTGTGCGTATATAAGCTATTATATTGTATATGTTCATTAGTAGTTTATGGTATTGTGTTTGATACATATGAATGTGGGCTGTGTATGACTGCTGCTTGTGGACTTGTGTGTGGATGGATATGTCACATTGTGTGTTTGGTAGTGGGTGTGGGCTGTTTGGGGTATTGCATGTGAGAGGCTGCATGTGGGCTGTTCGTATTATTTGTATAAGGGGAGGGTTATTCTTCATTTCTGTGTTATGAATGTAAATTAGTGATTGTAAAATATCTATTTACTGTTTATACCTGTATTCAATATCTACTCAAAATGGCTGCTAGAGCACCCCCTCCCACCGACTAACTACCTCGTGTAACAAGATGGCTCCTACATCCGGAGTAAAATCCCGGGATGATGGTGACATCACGCCTTGTAGGATGTGCATTAGATAAGACACTTAACACCTAACCAATTAAAGATGTATTCTGTTTTCTACATTTTTGCATATGATGTATTTTTGCCTTTATAAGGGGCTTGCCGCCCCCTGAGTAAACATTCCGAAGTTTTTCAGTAACCTGATACCTGTGTCTCAGTGTGATTTTTACTTCAGAGCGTGCATGCATTTATTTTAACAATTTGGAAAGGAGCAGATACTCAGATAAACACTTGGTTTAAACCACAATATCTGTGTATATCTAGCAGTATGGTTGGCTTCCCTGGGTTCCAGTGGGGACCAGGCTGGCCTGGTACAGGTCAAGGGCAGGAGCTGCAACAGCAGCTGCAGGCTGCTCTACTACGGTGTGGATTCCCATTCACGAGTACTTGGAGGAAGTGATCTGAGATAATTTCCTCTATGTGCTGCAATGCTTAAATTGAGGATTGTCCTTCACCATCTTTTCGTATTAGCAGATATTTGACGTTTTACTGGGACTCCTGATAGGCCAGAGCCTGTTTGGCTCTAGCAGCCTTGAGTGCTGTGCAAAGACACCTCGAGTGCCGTGCATGGCACTAGTGCCGTACGTTGCCTACCCCTGTCATAGTGAATCAAAATGGATACAGCAATATACATATTGTGTTTCCTTTCTACTGTAAAATATTTCCCATTTCTGTTTCTATTGGGTATTAAATATGATAGCTGTAGGTACAAGGTTGGTCACTGTGCCTGTTTACATTGGCAGTTTGCTATGGTTTGTCATATCTTTATTAAAGTGCACCTGTCTTGACAAACATGACTTAGTGTCACTTTATAGCAGGAGCATCAAACATATGGCCAATTTGGCTCATGTATCCGATCTGCAGATATCCTTTATTGCTTGTCTGGCATATGCTTGCATTTGTGCAAATCTCAAGACAGAGCTGACACCGAGAGATGCCAGGGAGATCAGGGGAACTACTTTTCTCAGCTCTCATGTTCTTAATAAAAGAGAGAGAACTGAGCAATCTTACACTCATTTCTCTCTCTCCCTGCTCCCTCGCGCAGTGCTGTAGGTCTAGGATGTGAGTAACACCCACCTTCAGGACTTCTCTAGGGTGGCACTGTTCCTATTGAACTCCCTTCCCTGCCCCATGAGACTCTCACTAAGTCTCCATTCCTTCAAAACATTGAAAATGCTATTCTTTAGGAAAGCATATCAGTTAGACTGTTGATAGCTTTCCCTCCCCGCACCTTGGTAACCTACCTTGCCTCTTCTCCTGCAACTGTGTCTAAAAAATTCAAGCCTTCATTATAAACTCTTCTAGCAACCTACTTTTCCATTATAAGAAATTCATAATACCCTCACCTCTTGTGTCACTTTATCCACTCCATTCAGAATGAGCAGGGCCCGCAACACCCTCTGTTCTTGTGCGTCCAACTCGTCTTGTTGCAAATACTTCTCTGTTAGTCCACCTATTGCTCAGCGCTGCAAAATTTGTTGTTGCTTTATAAGTAATCATAATAATAATAATAATAATAATAATGCCATATCCCTGCTCTTTGAACACTCCAAGCACAGTACCTACTACAGCCCGTATAATATTATTGAAACCATGTTTCCTTTCTTTTCCGTTAATTCCAAATTACAATAAACAATGAACCAAAGTGTCCATACTTTGCAATAGTACATACCAAAACTAAATAAAATATGCTGAACACTGTTGCCATAGTGAAAGTAACAAATGACTCCAGATCATATTCATTTAAGTAGGGGAGCCCATTATGGATGGTATGCTTTGTTCATACAGTTCTGTCTGGCTGAGATTGACATGACTTGCAGTCCAGAACCGAATACACATGCCCGTATCTCCCAACATTTTAGATACACAAAGGAGGACACTTTACAGCGACACTGGCACCCACATCATTATCACCCTACGAGTATTTCATAAAGATGAAATTATATTTACTGAAATTCCAACCCAGTCAAAAGTTATACTGAGACAAAGTGAGGATTACTTGGTCTGAGAATTTTTCTCCTCCTAAGAAAGCTTGTCACTAGGCGGACCTACCACCGTCAAGCCTGGTCTTTTCCCCCCAAAATTAAAGGGACACAATAGGCACCCAGATGCTGGGGGAGGGGGTACCAGAGGGAACTATAGTGTAAGGAATACAGAAGTATATTCCTTATCCTACAGAATCCCTTTAAGGTCTTTCTATGGAGGATCCTGTGGTCTTGCATGATCCGTCATACACTGCAATGCTGTATTCCCATGCATCCCCAATCAGGGGATCTTTGCAAAGACCCCAGACAGTGACATATTCCCTTTAATTTTCTTAGTAGACACCATGGCCAGGGACGGACTGTGTTTGGAAATTTTAGGTGATTTACTAATAACAATCCATGCAACTAAAATGTAATATAGAACACTCTAATTCACACAGACTGATTTCTAAACACATTTATTGTCAATTAAAAACACATTACAATCTACAATGAATGCGGTGGCTTCCAGTTAGATATAGGACTCAATTTAAAATTCTGGTGCTTCTAGCTTATAAATCCCTACATAATGCTGCTCCAACCTACCTATCCTCCCTAATACACATGTCCCATCGAGGCCCCTACGCTCTGCCAAAGACCTACGCATATCATCTGTCCGTACGCCCACCTCTAACTTTCGCTTCCTAGACCTTTCCAGGGCTGCACCTCTTCTGTGGAACTCCCTTCCCTTCTCCGTAAGACTTTCACCCAGTCTCCACTCCTTCAAAAAAATCATTGAAAACTCACTTCTTCAAGAAAACATATCAATTAAACTGTTATCAGGTTTTTATCCCCCGGCCACATGACTTCTCTCCTGCAACTGTCAAAAATTACCGACTAAGTACTCAGTGAATAATTTTCTAACAACCTACTCCGTACCCCTACTTTTACCCTTTGTGTCACTATACCCCACTCCCTCTAGCATCATGTAAGCTCATTGAGCAGGGCCCCCCACCTCTCTGTTCCTGTACGTCAAGTTGTCTGGTTACAATTACACCCATTGTACAGCGCTACGGAATCTGATGGTGCTATATAAATAATAACAATTACTGGGAGTATCATTGCTGTGGAGCGCTGTTTAACACTCAGGCACACTTACAATATGGAGCTCCTAGAAAAGACAGCCATCAGGATATAAAAGTGAGACAGTGGGATTTGGGCTTAAACTAGGGACTGTTCCTCCTAAATCAGGACACTTGGTTGGTATAGATGCCCACCAGGCTTATTCTCTAGCAGCAGATAGTGAAGGCAGACAGTGGGAGCCTACACCTGCCGTCACACGTTCTCTGACCCCGCCCAGCTATAAATACGTGCGCGCGCCCACATGTCCCCTCCCACTCCACGCAAATATGCGTGCGCGTGACAGTCGACAGTTTAGGAACGCGCACGCCTCTCTGTTCCTCCTCCCTCTAGGGTGAGCGACGCGCTTTCCCCACGAACGCTAGAACCCTCTGGTTCTCGGGCACGAGCACGCCCAGCCGTCTCCTCCCTCACACAGGGATTATGCGCGCGGATACCCGGCTCCTCCCACACACAAATACCCATCGCGGGAGCGCGCCCAGGTCAGGTGACCCCCCCCCCTGCCAGCCCGCAGGATGGTGCCTGGAGAAGATGGCGGATACCGAGGAGCTGCGGGTGAGAGCTGTGTGCCATGCAGGAGGAGGAGGGGATAATCATAGTGTTATTACAGTCCCCGTCAGCAAATAGGGATCCAATCACACAGTTATACATCTACAAAAAAATAATAATAATAACTGCTTATTATAGGGTCATTTTTGTGATAATTTTTTTTTTTTAAGTTTACTAATTAATCATTAATTTATTAATTAATCATTAGTTTACTAATTACTAAATTAATTAATCATTAATTTTATTGGTTTGGGAATGTGTTGGTTTAATCTCTGGAAATCTGATGGTTTTTACCCCAACATATAAAAAGAGGGGTTATTGTAGTCCGTAGCAATTTTATTTGACAATTGACGGATTGGACTTGCGTTACCGGTTATAGTTTTTTTTTTTTTTTTTCAGGACCGTGGCGTCCAAAGAGGTTGGGGTATGGATATTAGGAAGTGAAACGATAGGCACACACACAAGGCACCACGTGGGGCCAGAATTGGGGTTATCTCACCGTTATTAGGGCTTTTGTGATGTGATTTTGTTGGGAAGGCTCGGAATGCGTTGGGGTCCTACAGAAACATAGAGATTTGGAGCTATTTATAGTCTACATTTTTGTCATCTTTTGGGATCTAAAAGCAAGGGATTAGTGGCAAGTTATAGGGAATATTACAGAGCGCTGTAGTGGTTATGGTGCCATGGTGCAACTAATGTAAGTAGTGAAACTTTTAGCTCTTACCTTGTGTCACGGGTTGAGTGTGTCACCAGACAGTGAGCTAAGCCCTGTACTGCCAGGTTTAACTTAGAGTGGAGAACATTTCTGTTGTCAGAGAGGCAGTGACTGATACAAGGCCGTCTTCAGGTAAGAAGTCAAACCGTTGGCATACGGTTTTACTACTTACATTGGCTAGGGGAAGGCCGTGACACTCCTGCCATTGAAACCACTATAACACGCTGGGAAACAGAAGTAATCTGCAAAGATGGTACTGCTTAAAATGAACTCAAAATATAGAGGATGTGGGATATAAGAACGTAAAAGATAAAGATCAATTTGTCCTGAAGGTAAAATAAATTGCCTGGTATGATTCCAGCACCTGTAAACATTATGTAAAAAATATTATGGGTGGTATTGAACGGGACATGCAAATGTCAAGGTCAGAGAAAACATGCAAAAACCATAATTACCAAAATTAGATCTCGCCAACTGACTTTTCATTCACCTCCTCTGTTTTCAGCATTTTGGACTTTGAACACTAATCAGATCTTTCTCTGGCTTAAATTATTGCATTGTCACCTTTAATGCTCTGTGATATTTCTTACAGCACCTCTCTAGACAGAAAAGTGCAAATATGTATTTCTTCTATAGTGGATAACCTTTTATGATGCTGTAGGTAAAATCTCCATTCATCAACTCTCAATAGATGACCTTTTTCCTTCGTACAGTCCTATTAATAGACTGGTCACCAGAGATAGAATTGTACTGCCCTTCTGTTTGTGTATGCTGTTATTATATTCCCAGTTCTTTATAGTGTAAATAACTTTTTTAACCTTTCTTCATAACGAACATTTTTAATTTCCTTTATTTTAAAGCCTCACTTTTTTATTAGTTAATAAAAAAAAATTCTGACATAAAATTATGAAAGGAAACATTGAAGAGCTACATTGTTAACTGTGTAAACACACAGCAGCTGATTGCATTGTGGTGGGTTTTATATTGTCAGCTCAGAATCTGCTTTACATGACTGGGTGCTCTCTGCTGACTGTATCCTGTCAGCATTATTATAGGAGCTTCCAGACCTCCCTCGCTTCATGTATCCTGGTTGAGGGATCTTCTTGACACTTTTTAACAACAAATAATGCTCGGCTCTTCCTGTTATTATAGGCACCTTTGCAACTGTGTTGGTAAATCTCATTTTATTTATCCTTTAATAACTGCATTACAAAGATTACATTATAAGGTAAAAACAAAAGGTCTCACTCATTCTCTGGAATGTAGGATTGTATTGAGAATTTGATTTTTAATTTTTTTTTTTTTTTTATTATTATTATTCTGAAATAAAAGTGAACATGTCAATGTCTTACTATGTTCATTTTTCATCTGGCACAGTAGATCCATTTTAATCTCTCCTGAGCAATTAAGAGGCTAATTTAAATGACAAGATTCTACTCTTATGGATTGCTGTATCCGTTGCATTCTGTCTCTGTATGTTAGTGATTTAGCCCAGTGTTTAAAGTAGATAATTGACAGCACAGCTTTGTGGGGATGATACCGTTCTCAATTTGAAACATATGGGAGGAGCAAGACTGAGGAAGAAATCTCTACTGTATCCTTATTGCAGAGATATTTGCTTACAGTCGATCACAAATTTTTAACCGTTCGTCAGGGTTTAAAAAAGGGATAGGGGATGCTAAAAATAAATTGATGAAGCCATTTTAAATCCCTTTTTTCTCCCACTTGAGACTAACATTTTTGATTAGAAGTACTTTTACATAGCAAACAATGTTTAAGGAAAAGGCATAATACAGGCAGAAAGTACACCTCCCCATGCATTATATAGATCAAACATTTAAAGGTTATTGCACAAAGAAATAACAAAAGGATTGGAATATCTGTCATTCCTCTCCATGACCAGGTTCTGTTTCTTTACCCTAGTGTCCAGCATTGCATTTTGGGACATGCAGTTTGGTCCCAGGCACTGATCTTCACATCACATAGGGAGAATGTAACTGTTGAATAAGCTGCTGAAGATATGTTTATACACAGTCCAGCTCCCAATTTTGTGAGTCGGCTGTGTGCAGTGATGTCCACAGCCACCAGCCGCAGAGCAGGAAAAGGAAGATATATCCATCCTTATTGTGTATGACATCAACACTCACAGCTTGGATGGCAAAGGAGGAAAAAATATTCTTCTCTTAACATTGTTGCTCTTACAAATCATCTCCGTTCTTAACAGGCAATCAAATGTTAATCCACTTGCAAGTAGTATCATGGGTGCATTATGGCATCTTTCTACCATTTATCCTCTCTCCAATCCATCATGAATACCTCTGATAGACTATTATACCTAGCTTGATATTCATTATCTGCTTGTCAGTCTCTCCGTTGTGTTTTTTTGTTTTTTTTTCCGTATAATATTCAAAGCCCACATTGCCCCCCAGTATAGCTCTATTCTTATCTCCAAATATATTCCCACCCATCATCTGCGTTTTGCCCAGTGCTTGCACTTTTCTTATATTCTAGCTACGTCTTCCATGTTGCTCCTGTCCTCTGGAGTTCTTGGGTTTTTACCTCTTTAAATATACTCTGAAGGCACACCTGTTATGAGAAGCCAGCTACCTTCCACCACTTTAAAAAAAATCCTGTAAACTTACTATACTAACAAGGCTCTCCAATCCTTGTCTCACCCATCACTTTATGTGAGAGTATTGCCCTCGACAAGCAAACTTCACTTATGTTATTCCTTACCTCTTGTTTCTCACACCTACGGTGTTATGGTGCTTAGAGTGATTCTTTAAATCTGTGGCTTTGAAATCCAGGATGGAAAGGACCAATTTACAAATGTTATCCTGTGGACACTTGGTCATTAATAGATTTATTCACAAAACATCAAACTGTAGTGGATTTGCTAAATATAGGCAAAAAGGGTGCTGTAACGGAACTCCCTGTACTCCGACTGAGTACCTTCAGTTGATGGGCGCTTCCTAGCCTGCGCCGAGGATCACAAGCATCGCACTGGACACCACAACCACAGCAGACTCCACAACCGTCGTAGCTTAACTGGAGTCTCGCCATCTTCTGTCTACCCTGGATCGGCTTCTGTCCTCCAGGACCGTGTGGGGAAGACCTCGCCTCCAGGAGAGCGTATCAGGAACAAGCTCTTAAAAGAGCTAAGTGATTAAAGCTCAGGGCAGAATGCAGAGCATAGCAATCCCCAGTGTGATTATAGCAGTTCCCTCCAATAATGAGACGAGGCTACGTTTTGAAGGGTAAAGAACAACAATCAATCAACACATTACATCAGAAATCCTCCCCTCTGCCTGTGATACAATTATCTCAACACAATAGACTAACTTAATTATCACAGGCAGGAAAATACAGTAATATAAAACATATCACAGGGACCCCAAAACTTGCAATAACCCCATAAATATATCCTCGCAACCGGGGGATCTGGGTGAACCACATATCCAAAATTCACCCAGGTCCGTTCAGTAGTTTGGAAGATACGGTTTAATGCAGATTCCGCAGAACATATACAAGCTATATGAAAAATAATTACTGTTAAATGTGTCCCCTGTTCTGTAGTTTAAAACTACTGAACGATGTCTTTGTGTACCAAATACCGGCGAGATGGCACCGTGTAGAAAAGTCAAAACAGTGTCTGTGTGTTAAAATGGCTGCCATCCATTGTTCTCACCATGTGCTTCATCCATTGTTCTCACCATGTGCCTCTCATACATGAAATAGTGGCCACCCAGTAACTCCACAGTTTGTCTGATATTCTATCCAGTGCAACAAACGAAAGGAATCATAAAACATATGGACAATAGTCATATTTGTGCACAATCTCCAGTTTTGTCACAAGGCACAAATAGTGTTTTCAAATGCCATATATCCCAGGGCCATAGTCATGTGGCAGGAGGCTGGCAATCAGTCCTCTCCAATGCCCAGTGGCAAATGGCAGTTTGTCACAGGTGCCAATTTAGGACAAAATTTTAACTCTCAAATTTTGCAATTTGCTTTTCAATTCTGTGCAGTTTGATGGTTAGTGAAAAGCACCCATGAAAAATGTGTATAATTGTAGAGCTATCACACGTGACTTGACATTGCTAGTATTTTTATGTAATTATTTGACAATGTTCTCTTTAATTGCAGAATATGGTATCAAGTTTTCGAGTATCAGAACTTCAAGTGCTGTTGGGTTTTGCTGGTCGTAATAAAAGCGGTCGTAAACATGATCTTCTTATGAGAGCGCTCCATTTATTAAAGAATGGGTGCAGTCCTGCTGTCCAGATTAAAATCAAAGAGCTATATAGACGGCGGTTTCCCAGAACACTTGAAGGAGTACCTGCATTACCATCCCTCAGATCAAATGTTTTCAATTTAGACAGTAACTCTTCTGTGGACTCGGACCTTGCAGTGGCTGGCATCCATTCTTTACCTTCCACATCTATTGCACCACACTCTCCAGCTTCACCTCTTGGTACTGTACTACTACAAGACACGAAGCCACAGTTTGACATTCAGCAGCTTTCTCCACCAATTCCCCCGGTGCATCCAGATGTCCATCTACGAAGTCTTCCTTTTTATGATGTCCTTGATGTCCTCATCAAGCCAACCAGCCTAGGTAAGAGGTAGATAGATCACTTTTGTCAATTTTATTTAGTTGTGTCAGAAGGAGGAATAAGTTTCAATGTACCTACATAGGAACTCAGATCATCTTAAAATCCAAACTGTAACCTGTCCATGTCCGTGGCTATTCTTTGGCCTTGGAAGTCCCATGTATACGGCGTGTCCCTTAGTGAATCCATGTAGTCCTTAAACACACTGGACATTAATTAAATTCAAGATTTTTCCAATTTTAGTGACATAAAGTCACAATTTTTTTAAACCCTTAAGGACCAACGACTTAATTATTCCGTCATGGCAGTCCGTGCCAAGAGGACCCATGATGGAATAATTCCGTCATGTGTTAAAATCAACATCAGATCACCACAATTGCAACGATCATGGGGTTAATGCTATTGCTGGGTGCCTCAGTGTCCAGATAAGCAACAGCAAATGGTTCTGTTTAAAAACATGTGATTGTAAAAGGGTTTCAGAATACCCTTGGGTATATAGCCTTAGATATTGTATTTATATAAATATATACTTTTGTGTTTTTTTTGTTTTCTGTGATGGCTATTAAGCATACAAGACAAACATACCAAATTCTAAAATTGCTCCACATTGACATTTTTTTTTTTAAATTCCTTGTATTTTGTGACCTGTAACTACCAAAAACAAACTGAAATTCTAGGCATATCATGTACTCTGTAAATCAGGACAAAAAACATATTTTGAAATACTTTTGGTAATCTGCACTAATTACGCACACATTAGTATTGCCAAACTTGAGAAAGAAAGTTATTAATACAGGAGGCAAGTATTATGATTTAACTTTCTTTACAACTCAAATAGCAGCAAAGAATACATTTTTACAGTCCAAAAAAACATGAGTATAACGTAGGAGAAACATGCTGAATAACAGATGTAAAGAACCACCAAGCGCAGTCTATGTAACGTAAAGCTATAGTAACTCAATCCTCCTTATTTGACTGTGATGATTAACAATATAGTAGAATGAAGATGAATTTGAAGAAATTATGAACTGAATCCAAATGGTAATCCGTAGAAATAAGAAATTCTCTTGAAGAACTCTTCCTGAAAAGGACATGTGAGAAGAACAAGAAACTTTGTTACATAGATAATCTCTGTTTATGCTGAAAGAAAAGAAAAAGTTAACATAAATTGATCAGTATTAAGAGAAATGTGGAGGGCATACAAAAAATAAAATAAGTGGTGGGATAATACTTGCCCTACTGTCTCAATACAATTGTGACTTTACCTCACTGAAGTTAGAAAAATCAGGAAGTAAGGAGACTCTTATTATGCTATTTGAAAGCTAAAAAACATTACTTTTATACATGCATTCTAAAATGAGGTTTAAAGTATTAGTGTTTAAAAGTGAATTCCAGAGACCAATTAGCTGTTTTGAGGATGTTATGAAGACTACCTCCTGCTGTCCTGGTGCCCTACACTTACCTGGACCGGTGATCTGCGGCAATCCCAGTCAGGGGGGTCTGCCCAAGAGGCCAGCAGTCCCTCTGCAGCAACTCCGGCCCTCCAGAGCCATGTTGCTAGGAAAGCATAACAATTAAACTATGAACAACTTTCCCTCCCCACACCCTGATTCCTCTCCTGCAACTGTCATCAAAACAAAACACTAAGCCCTCAATGAACACTATCCTAGAACCTACTTTTCTACCCTACCCTTACCTTTTTGTGTCACATTACCCCACTCCCTCTAGCATGTAAGCTCATTGAGCAGGGCCCTCAACCCGTCTGTTCCTGTGTCCAACTCGTCTGGTTATAAATACTTGTCTGTTAGTCCACCAATTGTACAGCGCTACGAAACATGTTGGCGCTTTATAAATAATAATAGTAATACTTACTAGTCATTGCTGATCGAGATGAATGAGCTCCAAAAAGAGAGATGTCAATGCCTGCAAGATACATAACAGATTTTAACCATCTAGCAATAGTGACACTAGATACTAAAAGGTAAGGTTTATGTAAAGAAATAAAAAGTTGACAGCATTAGGATTTATTAATGACGCTGCTTTCAATTCGTACATATTTCAGCATTGAACAACATGTAGCTTAGGATTTTTGAGGGAAAGCCGGATGAAATACTGAAGACTAATTCGTTTTACTGCGTCTTACCACTTGGAAATTTACGCTATCTGGAAAGAAAATGTTATGGATATCAGGTGCTTTGACATCTGATACATGTTTAAAAGAAATGAGACACAATAACTCAATAAAAATGTTAATGATACATTTTCATTATCTTCCTGAGAAACAAATACATTTAGAACCAAGGAAACATGGGAATGTTTTAGACAAGGAGGACATTTCAAGTCAAAACCTCTCATGAGTTGTCCTCTGGTTGTGTAACTTCCATTCGCTGACACTGTGTAGATGTCTGGAATTCCTATCCGCTACAACATTGGACATTCCTGGTAAGTATTCCATGTGTTTCAACCACCAAATTATCTCCTCTCTTGCATCTGTTGATAAAGGAATTTTGTCTTGATAATCTAGAGGAGCTGGAAAGATGGCCTGGATGAAAGCTGCTAAAAACGTCCACAATTTGTACCAGAAGGCGAAGGCATACAGTTTCTTTCCTTAATAGCTGTTCTTCAAAAGACACTGTAATTTCTTTAGCGATTGAATGAGAGACTGTTGATTACAGTCCAGAACGAATCCCAGAAATTTATTGATTTGAGAGGGGTTTAATACCGATTTTAAAATTTTATTTATTCAACACAGTAGCATAAACTTTGTAAAAAAAAAAAAAAAATCATCCATATTTTGTGAAGATGAGACATGATCAGAATATTGTCTAGGTAAATAATCCTTCGAACTGTCAGACATATTAGCTCTGCTTCTGAGGTTTGCAACTATCGGTTTCAGTAACTTGGTTAAGCATTGAGGTGCGGAGGAAAGGGTCAAAAGGAAGACAAGTGAACTGCATTTTCAGTTTTTCCAAGGGAATTGCAGGAAAGGTTTATGATCTGGATGAATAGGTACTGTTAAGTAAGTGTCCTTTGAGTCTTTTTTGATCACCCAATCTCTGGGTTTCAAGAGATATCTCAGACAATGGATTCCTTCCATTTTGAAATGGTTGTAGCAAATGTATTGATTCTAATGTTTTAAGTTGATGACTGTTTGAAGTCCTTCATCCTTCTTGCGTACAAGGAACATATTGCTGTTGTATCCAGGAATATGCATGGAAACTTCTTGACCCACTCCTTCTTTGAGTAATAGATTAATTTCCTGTTCGACAAGGATCTTATCTTGATGGGAGAAATGAAAAGGAGGAGGAATACTCACCCGGATCAGCCATTTTTAGAAATCTGTTGTAAATACTTTTACTGTGTTGAGAATCCATATATCCGAAGTTAGAGAGAACAACTGTGGAAAAAATGGGTGAGTCTGTCACCCAGATTTATATTAAAAAGGAATAATACTCTATATGAAACTACCATACGGCGACAAAATACGCCTCTCAAAGGACAGCACCCACGGTATAGACAATATTGGGAAATGGCTTGGGCGAAGTTCATCTAGGAACTTCAACAATAGCATTAAAATAAAATACTACACACCGAGATCCGACAGCGGAACCCATCCAAACCTTACAGTACTATGTATGCATAATGCAATGTGTTATATAGCAGTATGGCATTGTCACAGTTCAATAGACAGATCCGGACTCCGACGTAGTCTGGGAATTTGAGTTATCCATAACATGTACCCACCCCTCCTAACCCTAGTTTCTGGATATATACATGGTCTAAGTCCAGTGTTTTACTATATATATATATATATATATATCTCTATATAGTAAAACACTGGACTTAGACCATGTATGTATGTGAAAGAACAGAGATGCTTATGCGTTACCCAAATCCTGTATGATATGTGACGATTTACGTACAACGTACATGTGTCTCATCTTATTTGTTTCCCAATGTCTTGTTTCTTTTTTCTGTACATGATTGAGTCTAAATAAAATGGCAATTTACAAAAAAAAAAAAAAAAGAATAATACTTACCAGAAAAAGTCTTGATTAAGAATGTCTAAAACCTCTGGATCTCCAAGGCCCCCCTTTTTGGGGAAAGAAGGATGATTGTTGGGTGTGATATGCCTCTGTAAGAGGTATAGAGGCCTCTATAATTTTGTCTCTTCTGATTGTGACCGGAAGAGTGGCCACTTCTTCTTCCGACCCTAGCATTTTTATCATGGAAAACATTTTTGAGGTATAACTGGGCCTTGTCTAGAGACGAGAAAACTCCAACAAATTTATTTTTATATATATATATATATATATATATATATATATATATATATATAATTTTTTTTATTATTATTATTATTATTTTTATTTTTATATATATTATTTTTTTTTTTTTTTTTTTAATAAACTCCTCACCAAATGGAAGGTCATAGAAATAGGTCATCTGCAGAAGTGCCAGGTTCTTTTGTGACCATTTTGATTGCGAGTCTTGTTTTCATGACAGCGCGTCTTCTCTAGCTACATTGGCGTTGCTTAAAATATAACACATTTGTTATATCTATCCCCTCAAAATATGGATATTTAGCACTTTTCCGGTTTGGAAAACTCTCACAGTTAGGTCAAACCTTTTTACTAAAGGACCAGATATATTCAATAATCAGTCTTGACAGCTCTTTACAGAGCAATCTATTCCCTTTTGGGATCTTTACTAGATTTTTTAAAGATATTAGACAATGATAGGGTGATAGGGTCCAAATCTTGATTGAAAACATGCCTTGTTAGTTAAAAAGGGTCTAGGGAATTTATTGTGGGTAGCTCTATTAAGATAATGTGTCATTAATTTGGAGACTTAGGACTCAATTAGATGACTCAGTGTGGATGTTTAATATTAGTAGGATTGAAAAGAGAGTCAGCCTTTTGCGTCTGTTATCTCAGCATCGTTATTATCCTCATTGGAATCTTGAAAATGTCATAATCTTTATCTTGTTCAGAGAATTCAGTCTTCATAAGCCATATCAATGGCATCCTCATTATCTAAATCCTCATCTGGTTTCTGCCTGCGAGAGGTTTTTCCTCCAGATAATACATCCTCCTGGGGTGGGGCTCTTGTGTGTGATTTATTAGCACACTTTTTGGGTCTGCTTGATAAAGGCAAAATTTTATCAGTTTCAAAATCTTGGTCCTTAACCCCTTGAGGACACATGACGTGTGACATGTCATGATTCCCTTTTATTCCAGAAGTTTGGTCCTTAAGGGGTTAAAGCTTTTAAGCCTTTTCTCTTGTTTCTTAGAGGAGAAGGGATCATCAGAAATGTGTTTACATTTTAACAGTAAATTTGAGAGGAATGACTGTAGTATTCAAATCTTTGTCAGAGATTAAGGAATACTACTCTGAGGGAGAAAGAGTTAAATCCACATGTAGAGGCTCTTTAGAATGAAATAAAGCTAAGGAAAAAGACTAAGTCAAAGACTCCTGCATGTTAGCCAATCCTGATGAAACAACTTGCTGATCAGATTCACCAAATAAACCCTAAATCTGTAATTCAGATATATTTTCAATTACATCTGCCAGATCCTCAATAGAGAAGGACAGGGAACTTTTTGAAGTGATGACAAAAATGTTAAATGTAAATAATATATTTTTGAAGGGAGAGTTTTTTTTCTCTCTCTCTCTCTTTCGTTTTTGCGCAAATTCCTTGCTCTTGTGGATTGTAGGGTGAAATTTGCGAGCTCTTGTAATACCACCAATCAGAAAAGTGCCATCACTTATGCATTGTACATCGCAATCGAGAAATTGGGAGTTCAACAAAATAGTAAGAGTTTAAAAATGCTAGAATAGTAATTATATGAGCGGGTAAAACTTAAGTAAGGTTAAATACTAAATCTAAATTAAAACAAGGTAAAAGGGGGAAAAAAATTGAAATGATAAAACGTAAATATGGAAATAAAATAAAAGGCAAGAAAATTAGCAGAAATATTGGGACGTAAAACAATGAAAGTAAAAAGGAAATAAAAGTTTAATTAAGAAGGTGAAAATGGTAAGAAAAAAGGGAAGTGTAATGAAATATAACAGAAGCTAAGAACACATGAAAGAAAATTATTTAAAATAATACTAAATATAGTTAAAATAAATGTACAAAGAATAATGAATATAAATATACACAGTAAAATAAATATAAATAATAGTAAAGCACACATAAAAGACACCAATATGGTATTTGTAAAGTAATGTGATTTAACACTCTTCTTAACCACGGAGAAGCAAATAAAGAGGTCTAGGTTGCTATGGATTTAAAAATAAGAGAACGGATAACAGCTCAAATAGCTTGCCTTCGGTGGTCCCTGCTCAGATCTCAATCTGGTTTTAGCTCATCTTGTGCCATTACATAAAGAACCAGGGCCATACGCCAAGCAGTTACCATATGTAGACTGTACTCGACTGTGATTGGTTGCTCCTTATACCGGTTTCTCCTCTTATACCATTTCAAGTTTGTTTGCACTGTAAAAATAAAAATCTGTTTGCTGCTGTTTGAGTAGTAAAGAAAGTTAAAGCATTATATCAGCCTCCTGTCTTAGTTAAATTTCTAGTATTGTTCATGCATCCATTAATGGATTAGGCAATTCCATTTAAAGTGAACTGTGTATAGTTATTTTTTTGTCCATTACTATTAGTGTTTGTTGTTCTTTGAACAGTGCCATTTTCCCATTGTAATAGAAATAGTTTTGGTTGTCCGTTGACAGATTGCTTTTGAACATTCTATTCTGTGTTCTTTTCACAGTGCAGAATAATATCCAAAGATTTCAAGAGAAATATTTCATTTTTGCCCTGACTCCTCAGCAGGTTCGAGAAATCTGCATCTCCAGGTAAAACAGATGAAAGCACATGTGCTTCTCTCTCTTCTCCCTCCTACTGCTTTATGTGCATTGAAAGCTTTTGCTCTGGTAACACTGAGTGGCTCTTTGACATGTTATTAACATTTTTCAAACATAAACATAATTCTAAAGAGGCTTCACTTCGCTAACCCTTGCCAACCTTAATTATTTATTTATCAAATGCCAACAATTTCCGCAGCGCTGTACAATAGGTGGGCTAACAGAAAAGTATTTGCAACAAGACGAGTTGGAGGCAGTGGGTGTTGAGGGCTCTGCTCAAACGAGATTATATTCTAGGGAATTATCGACCACTTCCTCCTCAGACCTTTGGTGCCCAAGTCATCTGACTTTAATAGTTATTCCCTTTATACTTTCCTCCCTGTCAGTACACCCATCACCCTGATATTATTATCGCCATTTATATAGCACCAACAGATTCCATAGCGCTTTGCAATATTATGAGCGGGGGGATTCAACTATAAATAGGATAATTACAAGAAAACTTACAGGAACGATAGGTTGAAGAGGACCCTGCTCAAACGAGCTGATATCATCTTGTCGTCCTCCCAGTTGCCTTTATTCATCTTGTTTGATTCAACTTGCTTCTATTATTTAATGCGCTTACACCATACTTACTAATCACTGTGAAGTGCTCTGGATTAGAGTCCTCTGTAAGCATATAACATAAATATTTGTAGTGTATGGGCAGGGCATGGAGAGATATATCAAGGTGTGCCATACTATTTACTTCTGACAATTAGTGGAATCTAAGCTAGTGCTAGAGTTTTATATTATAAGATATACGTTTTTACTGCTCATTTGGATCTTTGGTGATGTTGGTAAAGTTAATTGTTTTTCTTTCACTTGTTAGTGCATGTTAATAATTTTATGATACAGCACGTTTTTTACTTATTTTTAAAGCCATGTACATGCATCGTACAGATAAACTATCTGTAAAATATATTGCACTGCCAACAGTTCAACACATAAGTCACATCTGTTGAGACCTGCTTATGTTTCTTTGAATAGAGATTATATGCCTGGGGGAAGGAGAGATTATTCGGTCCAAGTTCAGTTAAGGTAATTTTTCTACTTTATCATAATAATGTGACTGTGCCGGAGTCTTGTATGTATTTATGCTTTGGTTTAATACTTTTTGTTTTCCTCCTTTTCAAACTAGATTATGTTTAGCAGAAACAAGTTGTCCTCAAGAGGATAACTATCCCAGCAGTCTGTGCATTAAGGTTAACGGAAAGCTGTTTCCATTACCGGTGAGTCTTGAAGATCCATTACTTAAATAGATTTTATATGGATTCCGAAAAACTGCCTGTTAACCCTTACAGGACCATAGTTATTGGTTATTATGAAATGGCCAAATACATTTCTGTTGTGCATATTGTTATTTTTGCGTAAATGTAAAGACTTTGAGATTTTTAAAGAGATTAACTTTTCTGATTGTTTGGCTGATTCTGGTGTCAGGACTAGACTTATAGGTAAGGGACATACAACAAGTGCTTAAAATTAACTGACAATATTGGGAAATTATTGGATTCAGAAAATTATGTATCTGTCAAGTTCACTATACTATCACTTTGCGGAAGTCACTGAAATAGTTCTTACTTTCTACCCCTGAAGAATGGAAGACTTTTGAAATATTACCGGGTGTTTCTTTATATTCAGTCTTTTAGCTAGGTTTTTGGCATTATGTAATTCTAGATATATTTATTTTGAAAGGGTCATGTTAAAATGCTGTTAACCATGTGAGATCCATAAGTTCCATACTCGACTCTAGATTCCATAGCACTGTGTTTACTTAATACTTTACATTATCTTGTGTTTGCTTCATGAAGTCAGTTGCGTAATATATCCCAAAGTGTGCTGTAATCTATTTATAGACTGCAAAAGAAATCATTTCAAAACATGTTCTTCTAAACTCTCAATTAAAACAGAATGCCAGTGTCCATTAAATTCCATGTTATGTCTGTTTAAAATGCTTTTACGTTAAATCTGGCTACGTAAAGATTTGATTTTACTGTCATGTAGTTTGACATCAGGAGAATGTTCCACTAGATTTTGTTGAGCTGCCGAACCAATAATTCACTCTGAAAAGAATGATTAGAGTCGTAGTCCAACAGCATCTGTGAGGCTGCAGGTTATACAGAGCAGTAGTGTTAAATTAATCCCTGTAGTAGGATGTGTCTATTGGATCAGAGATATTCTGTCAGTTGGCCTGGAAGTAAATGAACTGCTGTGAAAAGATTATCTAATCATTTTCCTTTTTTACTGACGATAGCCGTAATAATGAGTGATTTATATCTAACAGATAAATTTCACTTACACGAATTGTGATTAATAGATCTCTTTCATCAGAAAGAAATGATGCCTCAATCCATAGGTAAGGTTTAAAAGTACATACAGTTGGGACACAGAGAGAGGAAAATGAAAATAACCACTCACAGAATAGTGATTTTCACTCTCCCCTCTGTGTTCCAATTATTTGTCTTCTTTTGAATAAAGGTTAATTATCTTTACCATTGGGTTAAGCTTAATAAAGATCCTTGAAGGGATCGAAACGTTGCTGTATCTATGTTTTTCCAATAAATCTGCTGATGTCTGAAGACCCTGAGTGCCTGGACTACTTTGCTGTTACTAAATGGTACAGTGCACTGAGGTCTACAGATGATGAGAGTGCGGATCCCTCCTTTTTTTTTTTTTTTTTTTGCCATTGGTTTAAGGCATCCTTTCTTTCTGATGGATGAGATCCAGCAATCCATTCAAGTACAGTGTCCTTTTGCAGTTGCAGAACCTGCATGCCTCTCTTAGGATACAGATATACTTTGCTGTGCAATAGGTTTTAGTGAGGCTTTTTGGTTTTTTCAGTAATGCATACTTTTTTTTTTCCCTTTAAATTTCTCTTACACCAATATTGTCTAAAGCATTTTCATTTTGAAGTAGTCTTTGATCTAACATTATACGCAGTATAACTTAACTCCTTTTTACATAGCCCTTGATGACGGCTCATGCTGATGGTCATAATATAAAATCCTAATTAGTTTCTATAAGGCTAGTCAGTTGTAAATTAATATTGCATGTCTTGATGATCATTTGATTCCAAGAACCGTGTCCTACTATTGCCATGTTAAATAGTCTTTCTTTATAGGGATGTGCTCCACCACCAAAAAATGGTGTTGAACAGAAACGGCCTGGGCGTCCTCTCAACATTACATCATTAGTTCGCCTGTCATCGGCAGTGCCGAACCAGGTTTCAATTTCGTGGGCTTCAGAAATCGGAAAGGTGGGTGAGTTACAAGAGATATTCCTTTCTGACTTTAGGAATTTTATGATGTTATAATAATAAAAAAGTAATAACATTCTTTTTGCAATAAATTGCTTAAAGTGTTTCTCTTATTTTGTATAATACAATGGTACTTTGGCAGTTTTTGTTTTCTTCTACAATGAGATTTGAGCAACTGTATAGCTTAAAGTTTTTAAATTTTAGCCTAACCTTGGGCATAATAGTTAAGTGCTCGGCCTAACCTTTAGCTCAGTGCTCGGCCTAACCTTTAGCTCAGTGCTCGGCCTAACCTTTAGCTCAGTGCTCGGCCTAACCTTTAGCTCAGTGCTCGGCTTAACCTTTAGCTCAGTGTGTATTAAGATAACTGATTCAAGTGATCACTGAATCAACACCTTATGTCAGAAAGCGATTTTACATTGATTTAGCTTTGCCGCTGACGCAGTACAAAATATTATCGCTGACTGGACTTACTATGTTTGCGTTTCTATGACAAATGTGCCATTCCTTATAGGTTTTAATCTTTCTACTAGTTTGGCCATAATCTGACAGTACACCTGAATAATAGTGAAAGATTTGCAGTGCATTTATTGATACTCATATGTAACCTAATACTCTGCTTGCTTTGCATATAGAATTACTCCATGGCCGTGCATCTCGTCAGACAGCTGACGTCCGCAGTGTTGTTACAAAAGTTGAAGATGAAAGGCATTAGGAACCCAGACCATTCCAGAGCTCTGAGTAAGTACTTTGAACAGGCTACATGATTAACATCGTTTTAAGCACTTGTGCCATAAGCTCAAGGTTTAAGTTTACAGAGTTCATAGCCACCTGTGCTTGTATTAAATCATGGTGCATGCAGTTCCCTGTCTGCCTCTCTATTCATTATAGCTGCAGTTATAATCCCACCTCTCTCGCTATGTGTTCTGGGGGGATTATACCGTTGTTCATGTCTCATGGTACTTTTGCAAGCTCTCTTTTTCTGTGAAAGATCCTGTATAGTAGCCATTGGATATATGCGACCACACACATCTTGTTTGACAGCGTAAATTGAGCTATTAAACAAACAGGTCAAAGTTTTTCAGGGCAGTCTTTACAAGTAGTTTTATTCATGCCTTTTCGTAAATTAAACTGCTTTTGATTGCTGGATTTCTTATGCCATAAACTTATTCTGTGTTTTTTTTTTTTGGATGTGGTATTTATTTATATCTTTTGAGATATATTACTTGCCATGTTTTCCTATGTATATATTTTAATAAATTGGAATCGCAGATCTTTAGTCAAATTAGTTCTTCTAACAGTCAAGGGACAGTTAGAGGGGGGGGGAAAGAAGGGCAGCTGAGCTTTAAGCATTGGTTTTTGCAACCTTGTAGAGTGATTATTTTCTCATAAATATTAAAATGCTATTATGTCTAATAATCTTAATCAACAAAAGTGATTTCAGCTGGGTGATTTTCGCAGGGGTTCCCATTAATAAATAATAGGCTTATTTTCAAGTTTTCTGATGAAATACTTCTTTGTAGAGCAAATCCATGTTTCTTTATTTTGGAGGATTGAATCCTTGTATTGTGCTTTCTCTCAGTTAAAGAGAAACTCACAGCAGATCCTGACAGTGAAATTGCCACCACAAGTCTGCGGGTTTCATTGATGTGCCCTGTAAGTAGAGCTCCATAGTGAGTAAGTTTTTTTAGATTTTTATATACCCTTTTTATGTAACATTTAAGCCCTCTGTAGTGGTTATGATGCCATTAGTGCCCCGGCGCCCTCTGAGAGTCAAACTATTTTGGAAGAGTTTGATATCTTACCGGAGTGCCACTTCTAGCCTTTTCCTACTGGAGAAGCTGGATGACTTCAGTGAGCTAAGTAGGTCTGCTATAGAGCCACTCTCCTTGGCTGAGAGCATCAGCTGTGTATGGCCCTACATTGCCTTCCTTAGCTCAGTGGAGCTGGATGGATTCTCCTGCAAAGTGTAACCGGAAGCAGGGTTGCAGCCATAGGCACCCGATGGAACCCAGATAAATTTTAAAATTCTTGATAAATCACTCTGAGAAGGCGCCAGGGCATTCCTGTCACCATGACTATTACAGTGAGCTGTAGTTGGTATGGTGTTTGAAGTGTTCCTTAAAACCTTGTCCTACCTCTCAATGTGAATGCATTAAACTGGAATTAGGAGTAAATTATATAACCTGGGCTTTTGATTTCCAGCACCAGATTGGGATAACTGCAAACAGGTTAGTGCTGACTCAGTGGCTTGAAGGGTATGTCAGAGACCCACTTAAGATTACTCAGGACAGTGGCGTTTTTTTTTATTATTTTGGTTTTGTTAAAAAAACACTATAAGGAATTATTGGAAGAATGCACAAAAGCTTAATAGTTTGCTCTTCAGTCAGGCCTTGCTCATGTCTCAAAAAAATGTATCTGACTTGTGCCCTCGTGGGTGGGATCATTTGCCTATCAAACTAATCCCACCCAAGAGGGCAGTCCAGAATTAAAATGCTAGACCAGTCCCCTCAGAAATGAGTTTCTCCTTGTTGGGCTTCATAAGTAAGGTTTCGCGCATGGATTGTGTTGTAGATTTATGTAGACCATTTTAAAATAAACTAAAAGAAAATGAGAGAAGAAAAAATCTTAACTTACCATTTGTTGAGATCCAGCTTTGTTTCTTTAGAAAGAACAAATCTGTTTGAATCCTGTACTGAACTTTTCTTTTCATTTTCTTGTCAACTGAATATGTTAAGTCAGGGCTTGTGGCTGAATGTTCCCCCAAGTTTTTGAATACATTTTTTTTTTATTACATAATATGGCATGAGACACTGAGTATTGAGGGGCTTAGTTTAGATAATTTAGAAATGACATTTAGTGGTCATGGGCCTGAGCTTTTGGTGCAATAACACCACAGATTTTTAACAATAGTTTGACAGATAATGAGGATGACACCTCTCAAAGACTCGTAGTACCCATACCACAAGAGCTGTAATGGCTAATACTTTGTTTCTCTTTAATAATAAATCATTCTGGGTTGTCATGTATTTCTTACTAAAAAATATGACAGAGCCACTACTGAAAATATGTGAATTTAATGTGAACTCATTTCATAATGGATGGTGGAAGATGGCTGCTTGAATACTGCATACTGAGCAATGACTGTAACTGTGACCAGCATCCAAGAATCCAAATTCCTTATTAAAGGATACTTCAGACTCCCAAAGTACTTCAGTTTCCTGAAGTGCTTTAGGGATAACTACATGTCAACCATGTCCCAATTCATAAAGTGTCAATACATTTTTAAACATATATTTTTTTTTATTTTTTTTTAAATCCGCTCTTTTTTGAATGAATTTAAGAAATCCCCTGCAGTTAGGGTGACGGCCAAGATTGCTTCCTGATTCACGCTGCTTTACTATAAGAAGCATTCTCCTGGGTTATCGGCACATTTGGTGCCTTTGTGGCAATTGCTGCACATGCTCTGATTTTATCCATACAGGAAAAGAGATTGTCATCACAGTCTCATGCGGGAAAAGAGCCAAGCAGCAGTTATTTTTTTGGTGCATGGGGGTGTATGGCATTTATATGGTTAAACGAATACTCTGAAAGTTGAAACCAAAAATCATTTTAATGTTGTATCATTTAACAGTCCTGTCTACAGCTATTTTTTTGTACAGAATCCATTTGCTATTGTATTTTGTTATGCCATTGTGCTTTTCTAATTTGTCAGCCCAGTTATTTAAAGAGAAAGTAGAATATTGTTTTATGTCACGATAACCCTGAGTAGTGAAGCACAAAGACAGGATTCTCATTAAATATTGAGCATGATAAACCTTCTATGAAAAATCTTTACCATAATAAAGATTTCTGAAAATAACACTATTGTCTCCAGCTGGGAAAGATGCGACTGACAATCCCGTGCCGGGCTGTCACCTGCACTCACCTGCAATGCTTCGATGCTGCTCTCTATTTGCAAATGAACGAGAAAAAACCAACATGGATCTGTCCTGTGTGTGACAAGAAGGCTGCATATGAAAGTCTGATTTTAGATGGGTAAGTAAGGAAAGAGGTTTACCTCTGTTCTCCAAAATAAAATAAAGTGCATAGAACTCAACCTACATGTGGGAAAAATATACCTTATTTCTGTCAGTGCAAGTTATAAAGTCTTTCTCAGGGATTCACTGTCTAGTCATCCTCAGTCAACCACCAAACTACTGGTCATTACAATCTACAAAAAAACTCCAGGATGAAGACCATCACATTTTATTTTAATTGAATATGTAATAAAATTTTACACCTACAGAAAACACAATTTAAATGGCAGAGGGCCTTCCACTGTGTTTAGAATATCATATGTGCTTCCTGCTTGTAGTATTTTCCATACCACCTAGCTAAAATCCATCTTTATGTGGTTTATTTAAGAGTATCATAATAAGTAATACAGTAGTGTAATTATGTAAAAAAGAGCCCTGCATGCTGCAGTTCTTATAGTAATCTTGTTTGAAATGAATGTTTGTATGTTCACAGGCTTTTTATGGAAATACTCAACCAGTGTTCAGATGCAGACGAGATCCAGTTCCAAGAGGATGGATCATGGTGCCCAATGAGGCCAAAAAAGGAACCACTATCTACACCAAACTCACAGTACACCCACATTGAAGGTATGTTCATAAAAACAGTGTTAAATTAACATTAGACATTTAACAGTTGTGTTTAAAGGAACACTATAGTCACCCAGACCACTTCATCTAATTGAAGTAGTCAGAGTGGTGTCCCTGTTTCCTTAACCCTGCAATGTGAAATGTTGTAGTTTTTAGAGAAACCACAACGTTTACACTGCAGTGTTAAGGACTGCCTCTTGTGACTGCCTACGAGACCGTAATTGGAGACACCACCTACAGTTTCACAGCATTTGACTATGTGAAACAACGCTGGACATCCTTACATTCTGCATGAGGATGTCTAGTGTGTTGAAAAGCCCTATAGGATTAGGTTCCCGGATCACGCTGAGGTTGGCGGTAGAGGAACCTGATTCAGCCCTGGAATCAGGTAAAGGTTTAAATGTTTTTTTAACCCTTTACATGGCCAGGGGGCAAAGGGACACTAGTATGAGGATTATAGTACCTAACACTATATTGTTCCTCCTTTTATTATAAATATTTTAGTTTGTAAGCTTTATGGCAATTTTCTGTCTGCATACATTTTATTATAATATATGCAAACCCTACTTCTATGCGGAGTGTAGATTATACATGCAGAAACAAATTTCTGAAATGTTAAGGATTTGAACTAGTGATTAAAGTCAATATTAGTAGATGCACAGAATATGCTTCAAACAGAGTTGGAAAAGACTAATATGGTGGAGGACTTCAAGTCTGGGATTGATTGATGCTTTGCTATCCTGAGCGAACAACAAAGTAAAGTATATATCATCTGATTTATTTATCTAGGGAATGGACAGGCCAGATGGACCAATTGTCTGTCTGCCATCAAAGTATGTTTCTACAGAATGTTCAACCACCTCTTAATGTAATTTAGCTTTCATTGAATGCAAAAAAAAATTGGAATAGGCCAAAGTTCTACTTTTCACGTTTGCAATTATATATATATATTTTTTTTGTGCATTAGTACTCAAGAACAATTCTCTACCTCTCTCCACTTTTTTGCTTTCACCATGTTGTCTAGAATTTCTTCTATTAAAGTCAATAAATAAAAAATAAAAATATATATATATATATATCCTTTCTCCAGGCTCGGGTGCAATAAGCAAAATGTTCTCTGTAATGGATGCCAGAGAAACTACCAAACAGAAAAAGGCAGAAGTCATAGACCTGACATTTGAAAGTTCATCTGATGAAGAGGAAGAGCCAGCCTCTAAAAGGAAATGTGTATACATCCCAGAAACACAAGGGAACACCATTAAAGGGTCAGCTATTTAATGCTACCATCCCTGTGTGTCTTCTTGAGTTATTTCCTGAGTTTAATATACATGGTCACACTTTGCTGTTGTTATGGGTTGTTATCTGTATGGTTAGCCCTACTAAGTTCTATGCTTTAAGACATTATAGTGGTAAATAAGGGAACCACCTGCGGTTACACTGTGACTATTTAATTAATTCACTAGCCAAGGCATTACTTGGGCCTTTGCAATGATACCCAGTTTAGTGTACCTGAAATTTAGGTGCCAGTAAAGCAAAAGAGAGATTAACTTGCAAGGTGGAGAGAAGTCCTCAAGTCATCTCTGCCTTTAATGAGTGTAGCAGATAATATATATTTACCAGATATATATTCTGAAATAATGCATTTAGGAATTTTAACCGTAAATGGCAAACCTAATTATATGCATAAACTTGGGTAGGAGAGCAGGGCAGGATTGGGGATTAAAACCAGCCTTTGAAATAATTCAATAACAGCCCTTTTCCTCCCCATATAAGAGAGGTAAAAAAAATAAACATTTGGCACTCAGGTTCCTCTCCTTTGCAAAAAACCTTAAAAGGTAAGAATAGATACTCAAAAATTAAATGCTCAGAATAGGTTTTATTTTAAAATAATATATATACGATATAGCCAGTAATTATTTTGATCAGTGAAACAATTTGTATCGGGTAAAAGGAAAAAAATATTTTTTTATATATATATACACAACAGGGAGATAGTGAACATCATTCCAAACCCCATAGAAAACTGGAGAAATAATGTATTCTGACCCAGTAACAGAAAACCATCCCTTAGATATGTACAAGACAACAAATGCAGTTTGTGAGTCCTTATCGGAGTTGATCCACTAGAGATTTGCTTTATGTTCAATATAAGTAAAAACAAAAAGAGTGTTTGCTGCATTTATTTACTTCTAAAACACTAAAATCCATAATCATTTTTCTTTTTCCAACAGGGTAGTTACATACCAGCCATCTACCATCAGGGTGTCCAAAGCCCCCCCCTTGGAGCCACACTCCATACATCCTTCTGCAGTAGACTATCCAGAGCATTTCCATCATTCGGCTATTGCTGGCATTTCCACAGATCTTCCAGGTGCGTAATATTACCATCTGTTTTTTTTTTTTTTTTTGGGATGCTGCCCCAATTTGTGCACTTTTTCAAAATATACTTTCCATTTCCCGATAAGTGCATGCTGTGCCAGCATGTTATAACCCAATTTAAGTGAGACACTCTTTCTCTGTCAAGGTTGGTGCTGACTTGATTTATAAGCATTAATAAAGATTATTAATGTCTACAGGTTTGGATTTCTTGTCTCTTGTTCCAGCTGATTCCCAGGTAAGTACAGATTTTGGCTGCGTGCGGTAACAGCACATATTCACTATCTCAGCCTGTACAGATGTTCCTAACTTCTCTATAGGGATGTATGTATAAGGGAGAGTGAAATCGTCACTATAGTTTAGTAACGAAAATCTTTAGTGCATCAAAAATCCCTTGGTTTAACCATATGCATTGTGGGGAACCATGTGTATTGCTACAATTACATATTAGTAATGCCACATATAGAAACTTTTTAAAAAAAAGGTAACTTTATTATGAATGAATTCACAATTACTATATTTTCACTAGCATAATGCTGAAAAAAATAGTGGCATGTAAACATGCAGTCCTATGCCTTATTTATTTATATTTTTGTAAAAAGGCGGGATTTATTGGCTACGGGCTTTGCAAATTTTGCAACAAGCCAAAAATAATAAAATGGACAATTTTTAACTGACAGCTATTTTTTGGTTGTAGAATCCCTGACTAATAATGAAAACTGACCTTAATCTGATGTTTATAAACCTTTTATACTGGCTGAGTCTAATGGAAAATCAGACATCAACACCACCGAGGCTAGCCATCAATGCTTTTAAGAGAAGCCTTGGCGTGATGGTGATGCAATAGACAAGTACAGTATATGTGACCATCATCGTCAGTAGTATGGAGTTGGTCCTATCTTGTTGGATTGGATTTAATTCAGCTACAAATGCAGTTAGAATTCTCAGGCAAACCTTGAGACTTAGAATTGTCCATCAGACTGCCATATGGTGAAACATGATTCTTTTCTCCAGAGGGTTGTTTTTTCAATTCCCTCATGGGTTACACCACTGTCACAGATCCTTGGCCCAAGAAACAAGTATAGAACTGATATTGCTGTCATAGACCGTATGCAGTTTGATGAGTTGTATCTGAGGACAGATATGTTGTGCATTCATTTTATATATGCAGTTAACAAAAATACTTCCACAAAATATACTAATGTAGCTGCTACTCAGAAAAAACAAGGTAACCCTCCAAGCAAGAATACTTCTGCATAACTAATATACACATTCAATAATACTGCACTCCCTCAGTGTTTTCAGTGTTTCAGAAGCCCTAGCTCCCAGGAAGTAAACCTAGATTTTACTATGTAATTAAGTCTATGCATACAAGAGTATTTTAAACACGACTCCTATTTTGTAAAGTCAGTATTGTGCTGTAAATATATGTTTCATTTGGAATATTTGAGGGAAGGGGAAATTTAAGTAATGTTTAACTGCTGTTGCCTAGTTTTACCAGAGTAATTCAGGTTTAGCTTGTTGAATTTTTATTTCAAGCAGTACTATCCCCCTATGTTTTTGGATAGTCTCAACTCGGCAATTCCAGCCAACCACATTCATGGCAAAAACAAAACCTGGAGCAGCCACCTTGAAAGCCGTACTAGTGATGTTCTAGCTGCAAGTGAGACGACCTATTATAGGAGCCAGATGTCACCCAGAGAAGTCCAGTGCACTCCGATGCCTCCAAATTCATGAAGAATAATAATAAAAAAAAAAAAAAGTTTCTATTTATTTTTATCCCAGATGTACAGGAAATACAGATCTATATATTCTTTGGGGTTCTGGTCTGAGCACACAAATTGTCATTAGAGCTAGGTCTCAGTACCTGCTGACTCGGCATTTATTTATTTTTTTTGTTTGTCCTGCGAGTTGCACATGTTCAGTTTGTGTAAATAGGTTTGCACTATACAGAAAATGTAAATATGTATTTTTATAAATAAAAAGAAAACATCCTTAAAATGTCCAGTGTGTATTATGTGTTGTTAAACAAAGGGAGACAATGCATGGCAATGAATACGTGGTGTAGCTATGGAGTGTAGGACATATGTGTTTTTGTTTTATGTCAACGCATTTTGCAAACTCAATATGAATGTAAACTTGTGGGTGACAAGATCCTTGTCATGTAAGTTATACTATTTAAACTATGCAGAATAAATTCTGGGTAACCCAGGTGCTCTGAAACCAAGGCTGGCCAGGCTTCCCTTCCAAGATATGCAGAATAAATAACAGTTCAGGCACTCCGGGATAACAAAAATTAGCAGCTTTATTGGGGCAAAAACAGCAACGTTTCAACTCTACTGGGTCTTTATCAAGTTTGCTAAAGACCTGGGAGGGTTGAAACGTTGCTGTTTTTGCCCCAATAATGCTGCTAATTTTTGTTATCCCAGAGGGCCTGTACTGTTATTTATTCTGCATATCTTGGAAGGGAAGCCTGGCCAGCCTTCGTTTCAGAGCACCTGGGTTACCTGGTGAGTGCGGTATCCAATATGTCTCTACTATTTAAACTAGTCACTGTGGGAGAAAAAAAACAACAAATATACATATTAAATATGTGTGAACTGCACGTGCATGCTCATATACTAGCATATGGCTCAATCCTATCTGTTGTGAACGTAAACTGAAGCATTTATGATCCATACATCTGCCTTAATAATTTTTGAATTATGTATGAATTGATGGATGGCAATTAGGGATCAACAGATTATCGGTCTGGCTGATATTCGGTATTATCGGTATCTGCCAATAAAGATACCGATATTGCTGATCAGGACCACTGGGCCCATGACAAGCGTGGGGGGCCAGCAAGCTCTTACTTACCTTCCCAGCAGCTCCTTTCAGCTCCCCTGTCTAACTCTTGCGAGTCCCGTGGCCGTTGTTGCATTACCACAGGTTACTATGGCAACGCTCCGCGCGGCACATAGGCCACGAGAGTAAGATAGAGGAGCTGAAGGGAGCCGCTGGGAAGGTAAGTAAGTGTCCTGGCCCCCCTCTGCACAGTCCATGCCACCGGACTACCAGGGAATGCCATATCCCCCCTCCCTGGCCAAGTAACCAGCAGGGAGGGAGGACTAAAACCTAATTTAAAAAAATGTAATATATATATTTTTTTTAAAGTTAAAAAAATAAAAACTGCCCCCCTTCATTTTACACACACTCTGCATTATATACAAACACACACACACACACACTCTCTGCATTATATACACATACATACTACACAAACTCACACACTCTGCATTATATACACATACATACTACACAAACACACACACTCTGCATTATATACACATACACATACATACTACACAAACACACACACACTCTGCATTATATATATATATATATACACACACTCTGCATTCATTATATACACACACACTGCATTCATTATATACATACACACACTCTGCATTATATACACACACTCTGTATTCATTATATACACACAGTCTGCATTATATACACACACACACACTCTGTATTCATTATATACACACACCACAAACACACACACTCTGCATTCATTATATAGACACTAAACAAACACACACTGCATCCACTTCACAAACACACACACTGCATTTACTAATCAAATACTCTCACTGCATCCATTACACACATATATTGTTAAAAAACATAAACAAATGTATATTTTGTGCATTTACCTTAATATAAAAATAAACATGTTCAGTTAACCATAGATTTGTGTAGAAATAGTTTGTTTTTCAATGGTAAATGTACAGAATATCGGTAAGTCATCGGCTATCGGCCTGAAAGTTAACAGATTATCGATATCGGCTCTAAAAAATCAATATCGGTCGATCCCTAATAGCAATATAGTGGTTTTGATTCCAAGAGCAACTTTGACCCGCTTCCAGGTAAAGATTTAAAACCATTTTACAACAGTTTGCCTCTTACCTGGGTCCTGCTGGGGGTCAAATCTCCTGTAATGCCGGCTGAAGGGCACCCACTGTATTCAGACGCCAGATGTCAATCTTGCTGTTAATTTATTGGCTAAGTGCATAGGTAAGCCAGCCCAGAATTCTCACTCCGGGCTAGCTGGTGGAGTTACACTTCCGGTATCTAGCTGATCTATCTTGGTATGTCCAGTATTCCTAGAACCATGGCTACTTCAAAACACTGAAATGGTCATGGCACTTGGAGTAAAACTAAAAAAAGAAAAACGGAGTTCAGTGCATTCCAGTCGTAAGGAAGCCATTGATGTGTATTAGACAATATGAAAATTATGTTTTCAAGTTCACAAGATTTTGTTTCGAAGTTAAGAAGAAAAGACCGTAACGATAGGCATAGACAGTAATGAGATAAAAAATTTTTTTAAAAAGCTCTATCTCGGAGATTATAAATATTAACTATATTTGCAGTAAATACTAATAAAATGTATGCGCTGAAATTTAACTATACTGGAAACTCAACAAAACTATTTCTATTTCTTCAGTATTTAAAATTATTTCACCTGTGTTTGTGCTTAAATATATCAGCAATGTTTAACCCCTTAAGGACCAACCTTCTGGAATAAAAGGGAATCATGACATGTCACACATGTCATGTGTCCTTAAGGGGTTAAAGGTAAAGTAAATAAAAATCACAATACATAGTTTTCTTTGAGCAGGTATTTATTTTATTTAATGATTAAAACCATTTTTTGTATTTATTTTTTTCTGTAACATTTGTGTTTTAAATGAAATTGTCAATGAGACCTACAGGCCAGATGAGACAAAAATTGGCAAATTAGAGATTTATTTGGACAATAATTACTTATATATGAAAACAAATGGAATTAAAAAGATGGGCTACAATTTGTCCAGGTATCTTTCCAGGAGAGGGATATCTTCCTTCAAACCTTTGCGTTTGCGAATTTCTGAAACTAATACGTTGGAACGAGATTTGACTTCAAGGGGATCTTCAGGCATAATCTCCCAGTGGTCAAACACACTTTGTGGGAATGCCTGGCCACCAGTCTTAGACCTTAAGTCCGCAGTAAATCCTAGTACAAGGAAATATGCAGAAAATATTGCTTTCTTAAAAATACACAGAAATCTACACATATATTAGCACTTTGGTACGGAATACTTTGGGCTGTAATAAAACATACATTTGGCAGTGTTTTTCAAACTATTGTATATTGACTTAAAGGGAAACTAAAGTGCTAGGAATGTGAAGTTCCTAGCACTATAGTACCCTCTCCCCCTCCCTTGATGGGGGGACTTCATGCGCGGCAAGCACCGCAATCGCATTAGGAATCAATGCTTTCCTATGGGGTTTTAGCTGACGCTGAATGTCCTCGTGCAAAGCGTGCGGATGTCCAGCGTCATTTAGTGGACCAAAAGTCCGGTAGGGACCCAAAAGCTCCTCTAGTAGCTGTATGGTATTTTTACATTTTTGGTGACATTTTAAATAACCTGAACCATGAAGTGCCCTACACATACCCATATGCAAAGTATGCCTGTTTTAGCTGTCTATTTTGTGACCCCTTCTGTATCAGACAAAATGGTGCAAATATTTCAGACTGACAAAACTGTGCAATGCGCGGAATACAATATATAAATGGTTATTCACTGAAGTGAGAATTCACAGTGCATTTAAAATTCAAAGCCAGAGTAACTAAATTGAAATCATAGCTGAGTTTTGAAATTCACTTTGACTTTGAGAGAATTTCCAAAACATTTTACTTCCCAGTATTCCTGCTAAGAATTTTGAAACTGTGTAGTAAATTTGTTTAAATTCATTTGTGGCAGAAGGAATGAAAGCTTTATAGAAAATGTTATAAGATGGTGTTCAGAAAGCAGAAAGGGGAATAGAGAGCAGTGAGAGAGCACCCCATGTTTGGTAGTTTTGTAAAGTGCAAGGTGTATGAACACTTATTTGTAGTTCAGCTAATGAAAGGATTGTTAATGTGGCAATTAAGTCCCCTAGTATGGAAGATGTTAGAGGAAGGCCACTAGCTAACAACACTCAAACATTGTGGAAGGTCTCTGCAAAGCTATATACAACCAACACATGGTGCTATATGGTTGAATACAATCAATGGACCTAGTGGAAATGGATTGAGATACGTGCATGTGAAGACATCAGAATACTTGCTGTGCAAAAGAAAAGAAACATAAAATCTGATGGTCAAATAAATGGGAAGCTCCAACGCAGAAAAAACATACATTTCTCCAGTACTAAACTCTGTGTCAACAAAAAAAAATTCAAAATACATACCAAAAGATTCATTTACAGGAAGATATGCTTTACTAACAAACATTGGGGTGTCACCAACTCTTAATTGTTCAAAAACATGACCGCGTCTCTTGCTCAACACACCATGGATCCCACCAATTGCCTGTTCTGGACACTGGAAACCGTAATCAGAAGGTTAGTCAAAGTGCATAATATATAAACTATATAATGATCTTAATACATTATGTATAGCAGTTATAAACAGTACCCTGGTCATTATAATGTTCATAAGTATTTTTTTGCATTGTACTTGGTCCATATAAGCTAGTAGCCTTAACACACGCTGTCCGCACATTCCACAAGAGCTCTTACAGACTGTATGAATCATTGATTGCTGTTACCTGAATTTCCACCAGATAGATGGGTTCCATCAGTCGCGGTTTGGCTGTGAGAGTTGAGGCACACAGGACTCTCCTGGCCGTGGGAATTATCTCTCCCCCTCCACGGTGAATGGCATCAGCATGCATGGTAATGTCATGGATGTCAAATCGAACACCTCTCATTGTCTCCTGGCACAAAACACCCTGGAGAGAAGAAGCATATCTTTCTGAAGACTGTTTTATTATTTGACATAAGGCTATCCTAACTATAAGATAAGGCTAGGGACTAATGAAAGTACTTAGAAAATTGGGCAGACTAGATGGGCCGAATGGCTCTTATCTGCCGTCACATTCTATGTTTCTATGACACTTGGTGCCATTTATACAGTGGTTTAAAATGGTCACTTTTCCTCCCTCAGGTCTGCTCTTCCCATTACCACAGCTGCCTACCCTCTCTTCCACTGCTGGTAAGCCCTCTCATTGTTAAGTGCATACCTTTCTCATTTGTCTTTTTAAATAAATAAAGCAATCTTCCTTTGATTTTAATTTCTCTGATCAACTTTCTTATCCCCTCACTCCGATGCTCTTCCGTTTCCACTGAACTCTACCTTCACTTAA